TGCATAGATCACAGTATTATACACAGTATTATATTGTCATATAAGCTTTTTATTTAAATGTTATGAGAGAGCAAACCACTACCAAGGTATTACTCATATGTCACAATGGGAGTACAATGTGCAAATCTGAACTTAAATCTGCATTACCCATTTTTCAAACTGTGAAAGGCTGACTTAGGTATGTAAATTAGCTAGGTCCTAGCTTTCACAAACCCTGGCAAGCCAAGACCAAACATGGTTTTACAATACTTCAGAGTGGGCCTGGAGCCGTATCCTGTCTCCCAGATTTCTGGGTGTGACTGACAGGCAGATTAATCAGCTCTCATATGTCTCTGAGGTAAAACAAGTTTTCAAGAGGAGACGTCTTCTGCATCTGAGAGACACGTGCTATATATCAGCAGCTGTGATTGGCAGATCCAAGGGTGGGACGGTTGTTTAATGCACTATATGGTCCGGTTCAAGACCCTTCTGCATCAAACAGAATTTAGGGGGGACTGGCTCTTCAGGCAAGAAAAAAAACTAAATTGACTTTTTTCATGGCTAAAAACCTACTCAACATGCAACCCCATCATTTAATCCAGGTTTGAAACTGGGACAAAGTTTATTTGACCCCTTGAAACCTGATTGCTATAAGATAAATGTATGATTTTTGTATTTGCCAAAATTCTGTATTATTTAGTAACATAAACCGTTCTATAGTTTCCACCTCCATCTGCTGTCCAGCTCTGTGAACCGAGGTCTCCAAGCGCTTGTACAGATGAGACGATCCTAATCTGATGGAGCAGACGTTTGCGTGTCGGAGTGATTTAGTTTGAAAGATGCTGCTTTTATGAACCCGGTTAGCTGTTGGCTTTGCTCTACAGCATATCAGTCTGGGTCTAGTTAGCAACAGGCCCACATACACCGCTGCACTCCTGTGTTCATGCTTTCCAAGTCTCCATCACCATCTCAGCATCATGGAAAATTGGCCCAGGTCCGGTTCTTCCCTGCTTTCTCTTTGTACCCCGCTCGCAAATTTTACTATCTGTCTGTAGTTACAAAGGGTATACTGCAGATGAAGGAAAGCGGCTGTTTCCAAAATCGCAATTAAAAGTGGTGATGGAGAGTGGGAGTCTGAGCTAGTTGGATCGGTAGCTGTCACACTTCTTGACAGTGGCAGAAGAGACACAGTGAGCACATTGGCTGCTTATGGACTGCTGCTCCTGTCCTTTTTAGGATGTCATAAAATTACAGACTATTGCATCAGTATTAGTCGCTAACTTCCCATAATTTCATAATACGTACTAAAATGATTGTCTTATAGCAAATGGGAATGTTTAAGAAAGGTAAGTAAAGGGTCAAGGATGAAATTGATAGCCTTATAGGATTCCACTGTCAACATTTGCCCTTGATTTAAAATTCCAATTGGTTTAAGTGGCTGGAAAAATACATTTGAAATAATCACAAACTTTCCGAAGTGTTAAATATTTTGAAGTTCCATTGTATTGTGTAAATGCAGTGGTAATGCCTTGCCACTTGCCACTTAATCTACAAAGAGTAAGTAAAAGAAAAAGTAATGAGTCCTGGTCTGGAAATATGCTATATATTTGCATTACTGTAACACAAGATCAGTGAGCTCAGAGTTCTCACATTTTTAGTTTGGGAAGAAACTAATATATTGTCAATCTCAAAATGTACCAGTAGGTTGACCAATTTAAGACACTAAAAACTGTTCCAATGAACACATGTAACCCTGGCTCTATAATCGTTTGCTGTTAATATTAGTGATCTCATTTGAGTGCAGCTGCTTCTTCTTCAGCCTGAAGTGTGGAGCAGCGTGGTCTGGGCCTCCCTGTGTCCTTGGCCTGGCTCTGTTTGGTGCAGGTAGTTGCTTAGAAATAAAACGATGTGTTTTATAGTTGCCATCATCAGGTGAGATACTGCTCTGAAATGGATAAACACAGGGATTAACTAACAACTAATAGACTGTTGGCAGAGCCTCAGTCCTTCTCCTGTTGCTTACAGTGTCTCTCTTGTGTATACTTTACTTTGGCTTTTGTTTCTCATGATGTGACTGTTCTCTGGTTAAGGCACTTATGAGATACTACAGTACAAATGTATATTTAAATTCATGGAAGATTGACAATGAAAATAGCATAAACCTAAATGCTCACATCGTGGACCTCCTATGTATTAGTATATAGTTGTAATGTTATTGAAAATGTTTTAATCTTTTTACTTTACTTTACTTTTTACTCCTAGGCGAGTGATACGTTCTAATCTAGCCAGTAGGGGCCAGTAGCTAAAATGTCAACTTCAAGTGCCTATGGCTACCGGTAATCATTAACACAGTTAAGATCATTATATTTAGGTTTTTTGCAGTTACATTCACATTTGTTTTCCAAATGCTCATTTTTTAGGTTTTAAATTTTGCTTTCTGGTTGGAAATTGTGACGTCACACTAGGAAATTCATAACTATTACCTAGAAAAAAATCTACTGTTCACAGAACCCATTATCTGACAAATACAAATATAATAAAACACTTTTATTTTGTTGAATTCATATTTAAAGTATCAGAAAACTATTGTTTGCAAGAAAATGTCTATAAATCTTTGGACTGCAACATACGGCCAATAACTCTTGCCAGTAGTTAGTATGTATAGGAAACTATACTTTACATTCTAGGACAGATATGATCTAATATAGAGAGAGACACTGTCTTTACCTTGATGATCTGTGCCCTCCAGTGGTTCTTATCCCATTGCTTAGAATAAATCTAAAATCGTTTAACAGTGAAGCCATATTATTTTCCTTCCACCACTTGTGATCTTATATGAAGTAGTTTGCACTGTGCTGTAGTAACTCTTGTAAGTGGGCCATTGTGAGGCATGATTCTGCTGACAGTCTTCCAAATTGGGCTGCCTCTTCTATGCGCTGTGTTTCCGTCCCCCTCAGCCTCCTCCTGATTGAAAGTTCCTGCACAGTTGGCATGGGATACAAAAAGGAAATAGTTAATGACACTGTGTGGTGCACTATGTGGAAAAGTCTGACCCTTTATGTGCCAAATCTGTCAAACGCATTTAGAGAACACACACGTTTCACTTTGGGATGCCAGAATCTGCCTAAATATGAAAAAACATGCAGAATTTTGAGGAGATTTTGTTTCCTTTGAAATCAAGAAGTCAAATGCATTGTTCAGTCTGTACCCTTTCCTCATGTGAAAAGAATAATTTTCCTTCCATCAATATATTTTCACTATATCTGTAATGCTGCACAATCGTTTTTTATGAAGTCTCAAAGAGCTTGAGTTGTCTAAATATAAATTATGATTTTCATTTTCTTCCTGATCCTTCAGATCATATATGCTCCTAGACCCACCATCTGCTTATCTCCACCAAGATGTCATTGCTTTGCCAGGAATGTTCCATAGAATGGCATTAAACGTACATGTTTCCATGGTGACAAAGACAAAGTGTATTAATCCTAGCGTGTGATTCCCACAGAATAAGAACTAACTGCACTAGTCCATACACAGGCCAATGTATAGATATCTTTTAAAAGCAGGGTGGGTGAGTTTATATGGACACTATCAGACCAACACAGATTCTCTCTCACTTAAATACCAGACATACATTTTGGCCCAGTGTATAGGTCATTCATTATACACAGTGAGAGGTGCTTTGTCTTTGCCACACACACCAAACCTGGCTCATTCCTCCACCTGCTCCTCTTCCAGCACCAATCTGCCCAGTGTGACTCTATGACGTCAGAAGTGAGGAGCAGTCATAGACATTCAGCCAAAGTGGTGTCAACACATTTCAGTAATACATTATCCAATATAAAATATGATTGATCGCATATGATCGATTGTCTTTTTAATCATTCATGCTAAATTTTTATCTTCTTCACAAATAGGCCCATGTGCCAAGCGGACAAAACTGATTTTATATTCCAGGGAATTTTATGCAAATTGTATCCAATATTAACTGTGCAACCATAGAGAGCGTGATCACAATCAAATGGCAAATTGTACACTCATATAGAAAAATCACAGCAGGGCACCGTTTAATCAAAAAAGTTATACTCTGCTGTTCAGATGAGTGAAAATGTAATCATGTTTTTTACTTGTACTCAATGATTACAGGCAATGTAATAGTCTTTTATTTCAATGTCTAAAGCTTCTCAAGGCTACTCAGGCTGAACTCAGGGTCTTAAATTGTTGATGCAAGCTACAAAAAAGACCTTGAGTGAAAAAATCTTTTACTGAGGCCGTGCATTAATCGGTTTTAAAAATCCAATCATATATGGCCTTGGGTTTTTCACTTCATGCCAGTAACCTGGTCTGACCACAATATGTGTACAGTTCATTCATAGTCATTGCACTATTGCTTTAGTAGTTATTTGGCTTCTCAAAAAAAGTATTATTTTCATATTGTTATAAACTGAATTTGATCATGTCTATATCTCCACACTGTTGCATAAAATCAACAGAAATGACCAGAGTAACATTCAAACTGAAAATTATTTTTTAAATCTTGTTTTCTCGCATTTTAATGAGAAAAGTCTCAGGTTAAAATCTTTCTTTTCTATTTTGTATTAACGAGAAATGCTGCTAATTTTGTTAGGTGGTCCAAAATATTGCAGAGATGCGTAAACTAAGCATAATGTGAATTCATGTATCTGCTTCTGTATCAGTGTGAGTGTTTCTGGCTGATTTGTGACTGGGGCCAAGTATTGAAGAATCTTAATATGTTTTTATGTTTATATTGTCACATACTCACTATAATATAATACAATATAATATAATTAATAATACAAGGTTTATTTACACACCTAAAACTATTTGCTATCTAATCTTAATAATAATAATAATACGTCAGACTTACATAGTCCTTTTTTGGATTCTCAAATGGCAAAAGAATGGCAAAAAACGGCAGAGGAAATCATGGGGGAATGCCAGATTGAAAAGGTGGGTTTTTAGTTGAATTTTATCTAACTAATCTTGTTTGTTCTGTGCAGGTTCATCCTCGTGTTTGGATGTCTGGTGCTGTCTGTGTTTTCCACCATCCCTGCTCATCAGGAGTTCTCCTCTCACTGCCTGCTCATTCTGGTACACTCTCATTAAATGTATTCAGTCCAGTGTGAGGTGTCTGACATTATGACCCCAAACCAGACCAGGATCAAAGTAACAATACTTTTGGTAATCTTTTCCTCGGGGAAAGTCAGCTTCTTTCCCATTCACTTTTACTTAAAGGTACACTGCTCCGCCTGTAATGTTCCACAGTATGACATTAAACAGCTCTACCTTATATTTATTAAATTACAGGTAGTTTTATTCCGCAAAAATCCTTAGAAAATCAGGCATTCTAGGGTTGATTCTCCACAGATCTGACCTGTAACTTGGTCTTGTTTGGGCTCCGTGAAGATAAAAAGGTTTAATACCACACCGTGAAACGTTCCAGACAAAGGAATAACATCTCCATGGGTAAAAGCATTTGACAAACCCTCCACTAGAAAAGTTACACAATGGATCTTACCTTTAACTTCATCTGGAAAGTCATAAAGCCAATAAAATCATAGCCATACCAATAAAGTAATATTTTTTAATTGAGCAGTCACACAGGAGCTCAATTGCACAAGTTGCTCTGAAGTGCAATTTCTTGAAAACATGTAACAAGTAAATGTAACTGTACTATCCGCTTTGAACATACTGAGACCCCTGCTGTTTTGTGTCATTTATTAATACACAATAACTGATAACCATTGAGTTCATAACCACAAATTTATATTGTGTACTGCAGGAGTTTGTGATGATAGTGGTCTTTGGTCTGGAGTACATCATCAGAATATGGAGCGCTGGCTGCTGCTGCCGCTACAGAGGCTGGCAGGGACGACTGCGTTTTGCCCGGAAGCCTTTCTGTGTCATAGGTACAGTTTTCCATTAACAGCTATAACAAGAAGTCAATCAAGCAACAGCAATTCATACACCAGTGAACATATAAGAGCTTCCAAACCAAGGTAAAAAAAACAGTTTTCAAGGAAGGGCATCTGATGGTTGCAATGGTACCACTATTCTTGTTCTTAAAGTTAATTAAAGTGTATGTAAAAGTATAAGTACTAATATGTGTTACCACTGTAATAAATAAATTCTATTCAGATGGTACTCTCAATCAAAATAGATAAATCAGTTGGAATTAAGTAAATAAATAAATCACTGTGTTTTTAAAATTCATACACCTTCACTAAAATCATTGGGGTAATTTCAGTCCTGGAACTGCCAATCTCTACTGAACAAAAGGTAAATGGTAGACGTTAACTTTAAAACTACAGCTTCATGACAACACAAAGTGGAACAGAGCATTTTGAACTTTTGAGATGTAGACAGACTAATAAGGCATTACTCAAACATGTGTAAATGAAACAAAACACAACTCCTGAAATAGCATAAAATATTACTTTATTTTTGTTCAAAGATTGGGTATAGGTACTACAGTGGCTCGTATTAAAAGAATTCTAAGTAATTCTTGCAAGTCTCTGGTCATTTGTCTGCCTCCTCCATCTTCCTCTTACACAATCATCATTGATTTAATGATTTTAATATTGGTTTAAGGCAGATGTCAACACAGCTATGCTAAAGCCCACAATGACCTCTTGTATTATTGTTAGCAGACTCAGGGAGTACAAAAGCATGTCAGTTTGGAGTAGTGTCTGTCAATTACTATTTTTCACCTGAGAAAGGGAAGACAGTACTGTGCCAGATACAGGTGGGGAAAGAGTGTAATTTAAGTCTTTCTGACAGTGACTTATTGTGATAGAGAAGGCAACAGGCAGCTCTGAGCGAATCAATAACTCTTTTAAAAGTGATGGATGGGCTCAGAGATTAGTCCAGCACAATCGTACCCTATTTCTTTCTCAATAAAGTGGGACAACACAGGTCTTTTTAATGAACTCCTGTGTGTCCATAGACATCATCGTACTCATCGCTTCAGTCGCCGTGGTTTCAGCCGGTAGTCAGGGAAACATCTTTGCCACCTCAGCGCTGCGGAGCCTCCGATTCCTGCAGATCCTACGAATGGTGCGCATGGACAGAAGGGGAGGGACCTGGAAGCTGCTGGGGTCTGTAGTCTATGCACATAGTAAGGTAAGACTTCAGATTATGTGTAGCCACTTTCTCCTCATTTAAAGCCCTATAATGGAATAAAAAACATGTCCTTACTGTGTAACTTCACTCCTCTTAACTTGCCTGCAAGGCACTGCTTGTATGATACTTAAACTAAATCTTCAGTATGGCTTTAATGACAAATATTGTGTGTGTGTTTTTAGGAGTTGGTGACTGCTTGGTACATTGGATTTCTGGTGCTGATTTTCTCCTCATTTTTGGTCTATTTGGTGGAGAAAGAATTCAACAAAGAGTTTGCAACATACGCTGATGCGCTCTGGTGGGGCACGGTGAGCCAGCCACATAGACTGAACTACACACAGATTTTAAATCCATAATACAGCCTGTTTTCTTATTGTTATATAATATTACATGACGCATTCAAAATATGAATAATCAACCAGGAGCTTAACATGTAAAATTCCCCAGTCATCAAGGTAGAATCCATGGCAAAGGAGAAATTTGATGTGTTAAATGGACAAAAGTTTATTTTGGTCAAATACGTGGCCTGTGGCTTTTAGGTGGAGATGCACAGCAGACTGAGATCCACTATGGCTCTCTCGTCTGTGTTAGTACATCCTCTTCTGAAGAGGCTGTTTTGTTTCTCCAATGTAGCGCCCACTGCAGTCTTCACTACACTGAATGGAGCTCTGTGCTTTTGTCCTATGGGTGGACCAGTTTGTGTCTTAAAGTGTTTGTAGGTTTGAAATCCATTGGGATTTCATGTTGTTTGAAAATCCTCTGTAGTTTTTCAGAAACACCCTCCATGTAGGAATAGTTACCTTTTCTCATGGGTTCTGATTCTCTGTTGTCCTGTTTTTTAGCTCTCTTTGTTCTTTTGAAATCCCATTTTGGATATCCACAGAGAGGGCTTTCTGCACATGCTGTTCTTCATTCTCCTTTCCCTCTATGCTTGTAATTTTTGAGTAACTCCAAGTTTGGAGTGGATGGTGTGAGTCAAAAAGTAGGTATTGGTCAGTGTGTGTGGGCTTCCTGAAGACCTCTGTCTGGAGTCGCCAGTCTCATATCGTTACTACAGAGAAAAGCACTGGTTTGAGAGGGGAGTTAAAGAGGCTATTTTTGTTAGGAAAGACAATCCATCCTTGAAAAGAAATTGAGGCCTTAGACATCATCTGTCTTCCATTTACAACTCCATCCTAAGACCTAAATCAAAACAAAGAAAACAATAGGGATATCCAGGTCAGGTCTAGAGGTGTGAAAGCTCCATCATGGACCTGAATAATTATGCTAATATCAGAGCAGTTCAATAGACCTAGCTAACAAAGAGAAACTGTAAACAAGGAGGTGTGTTAGTTTCCGAGTAGTTTCAGTGTAGTTAGCTCGTCCCTGCAGTGTCCATCAGCATTCTGACCAGAACTGAAGAAGCAGGTTGGGTGAGCTGTGAAACATATTCTATCAAAATAAACTTTTGTCCAGTTGACAAATTGAATTTCTCTTTTGCAATGAGCATAAAGATGAAGTGTGTAACTTTTCTGGTGGAGGGTCTGTCAACTGATTGTCTCCAGATAGATTTTATTGCTTTTTCCCAGAATGTTTCACAGTATAACATTAAACTAATTCAAACATTTATTCAAGTTTAGCTTTTTTATTGCTCAGAAATACCTTGAAATACTTTAGCGGGATCCATTCTCCACAGATCTCACCCATAACACGGCCTAGTGGTATCACTTAATTGTCTCCATGGAGATAGATATGTTTAACTTTAATACTGTGGAACATTCCAGGCAAATAATAAAACATCTCGATGAAGACAGTCCAACTGCAGACCCTCCATCAGAAAAGTTACACATTGCCCCTTTAATGGCTATTAGGATGCTTGTTACCAAGACTGGTCTCATTTAACAGTGTTCCAGCCAGAGGTCAATCTGTGAAACAACTGTGTATTGCTACTATAACAAGTAGTGCTTCTATAACTTGAGTAATGTACTACAATTCTCCAGCTGCTAGTTTTACTACGATTGATCCACTGTATTGCAAACTGAAATGTTACTGCTTTTACTTTTTATTAGCACTACATTTGCTGCTTTTCATCATTTAACACAAAGGCTTTATGGTCACACTTGGCTGAGTGCACTGCTCTGTTTCTTCATGGGAGCCATTACTCCACAATAAATGTGAAACTAGACAAAACACAAACAAGAAATAGTGCGCTCAATAAATTCAATTTCCTCGTGCTGCCAGGTGCGACTAGACAGTTCGACATGTGGCAAAAGCATTCTGTGTTCATGACATGTTTCCACTCACAAAAGCAAACACTTGTACTGAGATGCAAAATACATTTCCAATAGATTTGTGTGAATGTAACCTTTAGCAAATGAGTTTAGATGCAGGAGAAAAAAAGTTACTGTAAAAGCAGTCGTGCTTCATAGCAAAGGTAATATAATAGTAGAAAACCTTTGTGTAGAAGAAAAATTTGTATTATTTTGAAGCTAATTTTGTAATATGTTTTTATTTATTTAGCGTAATGGTGCACTGTGTAACTTTCCTCGTGGAGGATCCTCTACTTGTTAGTCTCCATGGAGATGCTATTTGTTTACCTGGAATGTTCCACAATAGAGGATTAACATATCTCCCTTGCATTTGTTCGGTTAAAGGAATTCTTACCTTATGCCGCTTGCTTCTCCGTAGATCTAACCATTAACCTGTCTCCATTGTGATTACCAATTTCATTTCCATACTATGGAACAATCAAGGGAAAACAACATCTCCATGGAGACAAGCTGGTGCCGGACCCCCCACAAGAAACTTTACTCAGCACATTTAAATGATAGAAGTTGCAGGAATGTTGCCTTAAATGCTTACAATGCATTCATATAGTATCAAGTAACAATGTACCAATTATTATATTTGTGTTTTTCTTTTTCTTTGAGGACAAACAAATATGTTTTACTAACTGTGCACCTCTGACCCCTTAGATCACCTTGACAACCATTGGCTATGGCGATAAGACTCCTCAGACGTGGACAGGGCGCCTGTTATCAGCGGGTTTCGCATTGTTGGGAATCTCTTTCTTTGCCCTGCCAGCTGTAAGTCACACAACACACACTTCAGATACACTAGGGGAAAAGTGTTGTAGTTGTGGTAGAGGTTGCATCTTTTGGGGGCTTTTTTTTGGCTTTGAGGTGAGTGTCTGAGTGAGATTTTGTGTATTTTGCTCCTCAGGGCATCCTTGGCTCAGGTTTTGCCCTGAAGGTGCAGGAGCAACACCGACAGAAGCACTTTGAAAAGAGAAGGAACCCAGCTGCTAGTCTGATCCAGGTGTGCACACATGTCCACACTTTAAACCCAAAAGTCTCAAAAGTAAAGATGCTTTTATGCTCTCTCCCAACTTATGCAAGTCACTGTAATTGACTGATACAGAGTGGGGCAGTTAATCAAATTTTATCGAGATTTAATCAAGATTTCTTATACAAAATTATCATCTTGGGTCCTTAGTCAGTAAAAGCATGCAGTTTGGACTTTAGAGCAGTTCAGTTCGGAGGAAGAAAATGTTGCTATTGTTTATGTTAAATGTTAAAGGCGCCAAGTAGATAGTGGACCCTCAACCAGAAATGTTGCACAGTGCCTCATGACTGAACAATACAGAAGAGAGAAAAAAAAAAATCACTATTATACTGATATCTTACCTGGCAACAAGTCCAGAATGATATCTTTTCAGAAATAAATAATAAAAAAAGATATAAAATATTAATGATGTAAGGTTAGTAGATATGACAGATTTGACGTTTTAGGTTTAGGTTTAGGTTTGACACACAACCATACCATCACTAATGAGTAGTGCAGTGTGATAGAGCCAAGACAGCTTTTTGCCCATTACTGAACAGTGGACAGAAGTGATGCATGTTAGTAGTGACACCATTTATGTATGCTATTATTTTACCACAAACATTTAAAATTCACAGTGTACTTGGTTCATTCGTACACATGCACATTTGGGTCCTTACTGACTGTCAGCACTGCTTCAGATTAACTGTGAGAGGCTCCACTACACTCTGACAGATACTGAGATATATGACGCATTTCCATAGTGACAGGTCCATTTTAATGTCCAATAAGTATATGTTATTCAGTGTGTAGTTATAGTAAATTATGAGTTTTTATGCATGCATTTATCACAGGAAGAACTGACCCACTTTTTCACAGCTGTAAAACTCCCAGTACATTTAAAGGTACACTATCTTAGACTTAGACAAACTTTAATGATCCACGAGGGAAATTATTTGTATTTAACTACGTAACTTTGTTGGTGAAAGATCCACCGCCTGCTTGCCTCCATGGAGATGTTGGTGCTTCGTCTAGAATGTTCCACACATAGACTGTATAAAGAAGTGGCTTAAGCATGTGTGACGTCTCCCGTACCATTAGGCTCTGCTCAAATGAAGCTTGCGATGCTAGCAGTTATGGGGTGAATTTGAAGCCAGGCTCTATATTATGAATAGGATTTTTTTAATGGGCAAGATAGCAGAGAAAAACCCAGGATCATGTAGAGCGGGTTAATATGAACATTTGATCAAAATGACGAGGCTCACAGCAGCAGTTACAGAGAGAGGGGCCACAATATTCCAATGTAAGTCAATGGGAGCCAGGGTCAGAAGGAGCCGGAAGAGCAGGAATGCAAACTTCCTATTTGGAATGTGGTGGCTTGCGTGTTAGCTATGTCCATTTATATATACAGTCTATGGTTCCACAGTATGCCATTAAACTTTACCTTACCTTTGTCTTTATGACATTTATCCAATTACAAGTATTTTAATTGCTCAAAAATGTTAAAGCTTTAACTTTAATTACATGTCATCTTACTGTGGGGGTTGCCTCTGCACAGATCTGACCTGTAACTTGGCTTAGTAGCATCAACTACCTGACACTATGAAAATGGATAAGGCCATGCTGTGGAACATTCCAGGAAAAAGCAATAAGCATTTCCATGGAGACAAGAAGGTAACTGACATTGCACCCATACAGCAGAATAAAAACTAATAGCCTCAAGACTTCTAACAGAAATGATGGCAGGTGCTTATTTGACTTCTATGTGACAACAGTTGAGGCCTTATTGTGGTATCAGCCTCACCAAAGCTATGCCGAGCTATGGACAGCTATTTTAAATCTAAATATTGTCATAATTAGTTTCTATTATTATCTGGGGAACTCCTTTTTGTTGCCTGTTAATGTTGTCCACATCTCACATTTCCTCACCGTTTGTCTCATCCTTGCTGTGTGTAATGTGTGTTTGTGGCGTGCATCTGTGACCTCCTCTGTCTCCCAGGCGGCTTGGCGTCTGTACTCCACTGACGGCGCTCGGCCTTACCTCAGAGCCACATGGCATCACTACCAAAGCGCCCTCCCTCCCTTCAGGCATGTATCCCCCACCCACCACCAGCATCACCTGCAGTACCCACGACAACCCCTACCCATCATGCATCTGTTAACCAATAACCCTTCTCTTCTAACTCTCCTTCTCTCCCCCAATCGAATACATGCCGTCCTTTGCACTTTTCCCTAATAATTGTGATATTTGTCCCTCTGACTGTGCATGTAGTGTGTCTGGCGTAGTTATGCTGCTGATGAGAACTCGGTTTCCATTGCTACCTGGAAGCCTCATTTGAAGGCATTGCATACCTGCAGCCCCATCAAGTAGGTAACAACTTACAGACTCTAGCAACATGGCCGCTGCAGCTTACTCTTCTGCTCGAACATCTCTTCATCTTCATTGGTTTCTTCTGTTGAACGCTTGTGTTTTGTTTTTCTCCTGCAGATAGTGTTTGTTGAGCATGTGAGCAGTGCAACTTGTTTTGCTATCAAAGTTAAACATTTGCAATATAGAATTGACTAGTTCTTGGTCAGATGGTGGATTGTCAAGTGCATAAACTTGTTAAACAGGGGGTATTATGCAAATCCAATTTGTTTTAGCTTTCTAACATGTTATAACATTATTCCCTCACCAGAAACATGCTTGGAGAGGTTTAATCCATGCATGTTTGAGTATTATAGCATTTTCTTCCAGGTCCTATTTGAACTCCTTACTTTTAGCTGTAAGATTTTGTGCAATGCTCAGCCCACAAGCCTACGTCATTCATGCTCCCACACGACAATTCTCCATAAATTTACAACTGCTGTACCCAGCAACCTGACAAACCTGACATGATGTGCAGTAGTTTCATTAGCATGATGGTGTTGTGATAGAACTCTGAAGGGGGAGTGACTTGGGAAACATAGGACGGAGGACACAGAGCATGGTCAGTTTATCCAAGAATTAGGGTCTGTTTCCCTTGACATGTTAGGCTACCAAAGGTTAGAGAAGAAGACAACTTGCTTGACCCAGAGAAAGTCAAAACTTGGACTCGCTGTTCAGTTTTTCTTTCAATTTACCATCTGAAGTTAGCTTTGCATTTTTATATTATGATTCAACCCAACTCCTTTTATGGCATTTTTCAGAAAACATGATTTTTCAATGCTTTTCCAGTCTGTTTTCTGCTGCTGCTTCCAAGGATGACTGTGCATGTCCATTGCTTGCTTGTATTTGAAAGCCAGTGCCTCTCAGTGCTCCCTCCGGTTACACACACTATAATTTTGGCATGAGGTCTGACGTTATCCATTAGTCGAATCATTGGTGAACTGCTTATTTAGTTTTGCTGCAACACTGATTTCTCTCCTTTGTTTCCTTCCTCTTCATCCCACTAACCAGGAAAGAACAGGGAGAAACAACCTACAGGTTTGTATGACTCAGCCTGTCCCTCCATATACACTTATTCTTGACATGCTGTTACTGTGAAATAGATATAAAGTGTATACATTAGATAGAGTGGGTGGTTTGACAGGTTTAAACATATACTAAATTTGTCTTGAATAGAAACAAAGTGCCACAGTGTCTATTTACCATATATGCCATGAGAGAATGACAGCAAAATTAATAAATTGTGTAAAAATGTTATTAAAAGCAGTTTTTTGTTGTACAATTTAAAGTGTTAGGTAACTTATTTATAATTCATATTTTATAAAAATATAAATATATTTTCTAATATTATTAACCTATTTGTATCTCACTTTAAAGTTGTTATTTTATGAAAATGTAGTGGACAGATACCACGGTTCATAAATCATTTAGAAAAACTTAACATAAATCATTTAAACTCACTGAAATATGGTCCCAATATTGCCACTCTCTCTTCCCCTTTCACTTTACTTTCCTCTCAACTGCTATATGACCACAGCAAAGACTTGCAGTTTTTTGCGTCTGTAAAAATGTATGCTCTCCTTCAAAGACAGAAGCCTGTACCATGTCTGTACCATGACGCACTTTTTCCATTGTGATGTTATTTATATAACTCATCAAACACACGTCTGGAAGAGACAGAACGAAGTAGAAAAAGGGGAGGAGAGAGGAGATAGAGGATTTGAGAAGACAGAGAGGGATTTGTGACTTTAATTATGCTTGTATAGTTTTTACTGTGCAAAAAACCATGGTAACTTTTGGGGTCTTCATGTTGCCGCATATTAAAGAAAATAGTCTTAAACATACAAACAAATGTTTTACTCATCCCCAAACAAAACAACATTTAATTAGGGCTTGTTACATCCTCAACAAAATCCTCATTTAAAACACTTGCTTTAATTACCTTTGTTCTAAGAGTGCAGCAACAAAACCAATTAACTTTGTTGTAATTATATGCACACTTTTCATGGTATCTTTTCTTTCCCCGGGACCAGAACAAAAAGTGTCCTCTGTTATTAGCGGCTTTACAGTCTCCTACAGGCAGCATGGCGGCGGTAGGTAATGGGGTAAATGCTTTAGTGGTTTTCATTTAAGCAGACTTGTAAACACCAGCTGTAGTAAACTTTAGGCGCACCGCAGAGAAGTGTATCACACTGAGCGTAAGTGCGCCTTCAAGAGAGGGTTAATGGGCTTTTAATGAGGAGTCTAAGTATGCTCCTGGGCAGGTGTCATAGAGTGGTGAGTATAAAGAAAGGTAAAATATGATTATCTAAAATGTAAAGGTGCACTATGCAAGTTTTTGGATGGGTGTCTGTCACAAGCTTGTTTCTATGGATATGTCATTGCTCTGCCTGGAATGTTCCACAGTATGACTTTATCTCCACACAGATCTGACCTGTAACCTGGTCTGGTTTGGTCTCTATGAAGATAAAAAGTTTAAATCCATACTGTGAAACATTTCAGTCAAAGCAATAACATAGAAGAAAATAATTTGACTTACCCTCCACCAGAAAAGTTCCACAGTGCACCTTTAACAATAAATTAAATGCCAACAAAGCTGTATATAGTGCTTTGTAGTGTACTATAGTGTGTAGTCAGTCAGACCCCAAAACTTCTTCAAACAAAGTTACATTGATATTTTTAAGTTGGATAAATTATAAAGGCAATATTCCATATAATTTTTGTTCCCCAGTCATAAGGAAATCCAACATGTCTCCTCCCTCTTTTCCTAACTATACTCCTTCTTCCTCTCCACTCTAGTAAGGGTAGGAGTCATAGGCGACTCTTCAAAAGGTATACTTGGAAAATTAGGAGGTACTTACCCAGAATCCTCTGCCCCTGCTCTTGGCCCTGTAACCTGTGGATGGCATTGTCAATGTAGTTTTAGTTGATTTTAATGCTGAGGCCAACTATTGCCTGCTGCCTGTACAATGCTATTCAAAAAGTAGAGTTGTATACAGCCCAAAACAACCCTAAAGTATTATGCATGCATTTTTTCATTCAGAATGTAATGGTATAACACATTTGGTATTATTCAGTAAAATTTTCTAGTTTACCCCTACCACTGCATGTAACAAGCATAGGGTCGCATCAAACCCAGCTTTTTCAGAAAAAAAAAAAAAAAAATCAAAACTATTTTATTGTGAACTCCTCATCCAAAAAAAACTGTGTGAATATATGGGGAGAAAGAAATTGGGCAAAGATAGGCATAAGATTGGGCATAGATGAGAATCAACTTTAAAACATAAAGGCAAGCAAAGGCACGTTTTTATACAATATAGACTTCAGCATTACAAGTGTGGTGAGCCCATATAGGGAAATAAAATAGCCAGCATGAACTTTGATGCATCATACACTTGTTTGCTATGCATGAAACCGCAAATATTTGTGACTACCAATGTATTTTCATTATGATTCTGATAGTGAACAAGAGGACACTGAAGGCTTAGTCTACTGATTACATTAACAGAGACAGTCCAGAACTCTATAGTGTATTTAGTAGTTTTTGGAGATGTCGTCCCAGACGTGCTCTGTTCTGGTGTTTGTAGCATGTCAGATGAATGGATGATATTTGGGCTGAAGGGGAAGACAGAATGCTGCCCTATGTCTGCTCTGCTCTTCTCACTCTCTGAGAGGAAATAAGTTTTGACATTGTCTTTTTTCTCTGTCTCCCTCCTTGTGTGTTTCATCTTCAATGTCTACCATCCTCCCTTTTTTCATCCTTATTTAACCCCACCTCTGTTTGTACTTTTACCCCCCTCTGCCTCTGCCTGACTGTCATTGGCATCACCACCTCTTATTTTGTACAGTCAGAAGTTGAGTTTTAAGGAGCGCGTGCGAATGGCGAGTCCACGTGGTCAAAGTATGAAAAGCCGGCAGACATCCATGAATGAGCGCCAGCGCTGTTCCCCCGGTAACGATGTGGGGGGCGGTGCAGAGCTGATGGGTGGAAGTCCAGCGAAAGTTCAAAAGAGCTGGAGCTTCAATGACCGCACCCGATTCAGGCCATCACTGCGACTCAAGAGCCAAATACGAACACCAGTGCCTGATGGTGAGCAGACAACTTACAATGCTTTGAAAATAAAAATGTGAACTCAAAAGCGATATGTTGCATTATCTTCATGTATATGTTTTACAATAAACTTACAAAAGAAGACCACATTTACTACTTAGAACAATTCCATCTCATTTCTCAAACGTATTTGTTCCATTCTTTCTTTTGCCTGGAATGTTCCACAATATGGCATTTAACTAACCTGTCTTCATGGGTACAAGTTGAGCATGCAATGCTACCAGGTCAAATTACAGGTCTAATCTGTGGAGAAATAACCTTGCTCACAGTAAGAATACAACATAGATATGTTTAATGCCCTAATCTGCAACATTCCTGACAAAGCAGGCCATGTCAGGCAGGTGACACCCACCAGAAAAATTACATGGTGCTCTTTTAATTTTACTTTTATTTGTGATTTATCTTCCCACTTGCCTCATGATGATCTGGCAAAATGGTTTCCAATTTAGAAAAAAAATCTATTCCAAGCTGGGCATAAATTTGCCCCTCTGAGATGTCCAGAATGAATTTCAAACCTTATTAGAAATTGCAGTCCTGACAATATTTTATCTATGGGTTTAACGTTTCTGCCCAGACTTTATTATTGATGAAATGTTTGTTTTTGCAGTGGACCCTGGGATGACCACAGAAGACTCTTTAGATGAGAGAGGCTGCCATTGTGATGTTACAGTGGAGGATCTGTCTGCTCCTCTCAAGGCTGTCATCAGGGCTGTCAGGTGAGAGCTTCTGCTGCTGCTTAAAAGTATACTTTATACCATTTTATACTATCATTCTAACCAGCATATTTATGGTGGATTGAAATGTATGTGATTTGTTTCGATATTACATTTATGAAAAATACAAATTTTTCAAATATGTATTAATAATAATATGTAATTCCAGCAGCAGCCATGCAGCCAGCTACTGTATATAACATAATAGCAGAAATAGTGGGCTATAGAGTTGTATCCTCATGAAGCCTCTTGAGAAAACCACATCCATAATACAATGTATATGTCCTCAGCCTCATGTTGTTACCCCCTCTGATGTACACATGTAATGCTGTATAAGACATACACTGACACATGCTGTCAGTCCATGGTTCTCATGTCATTTTCTTCTTCCTCCAGTCCAGAATGATGAATAATTGCTGTATTTTTTTCACCATTTGAGCTGTTTCACTGTTTCACGGTTTATCTGCTCAGCTGGAGCCTGGCCCTGGGGACCTGAGCACAGTATACACAGTATATATATATGTGTGTGTTTTGTTCACATAGGTCAGACCTTTGCTATTTGACACTGGCACCAGCTCCCTGTGTTTGTGATGTGTTTTCCAAGTGGGGCAAACAGATTCTGTCACTTGACAGTTTTCTATCATGGCATAGTTTAGGCACCAGGAAATAGCTGATATCTGTTTAAACTGGACATTAGAAAAAAGTGTAATCTAGTATAATTCTCTCTTCTGCCTGTGAGGCTGCCTGTCAGCTAATTCAATTCAATTTGACCACTAAATGTTAATTGTCTCAGGCCTTCTCCATCTCTGTCTCTTTTCTAATTTACCTTTATCACCCAATTTCGGTCAGGTTGCTGTGCAAATGTGCTACTACCACTATGAAGGGCTTAATTTCTGAAACTTAAGTAATCATATTTCTCTCTGGATACATCCTAAGAGCACCACCCCCACACTACAGGCACTTGTCTATTATGAAAAACTGGAAGAATCGGGCATCTGGATAAATTTTTAGTTACATTTTAGTAGCATTTTGTAAAACAGGCAAGGTTTTAACTTAAGTTCTGTACAAATCTCTATTGGACAATCTTGTGCCCACCCAGCAGGCCTATTCCTGGGCTATCCCAAACTGTGTCTTTCCCAGGGTGTCAGGTTGAAGAAGGGCACCCCCTCCCCTGTCAGAACTGTTATTACACTGGCTCATCTGTCATTATTGTTGCCATTTAGACAGTGAGAAAAATCAGGCAACTAGGGACAATGTGAATGTAGTGGGGAGTCTAAAAGAACTACATGCACATCTCACCTTTCATGTATCAATATTATTCACTCATCTGAGATTTTGAATAGCAAAGAGGTGCAGGCTTTCAATCATGTTTGGTTGTTTAAGATCAAGACCGCTTTGGTTTCATTATATGACCATAACGGTATCTGAGAAAATGTTAATCACTGTCCAAAGGGAAGCAACAACTGCAACGAAGGCCAGTCTGTTGGGAATGTGCCTCCATCTAGTGGTCACTTGCATTAATCACACTTGTTAGAATTGCACATGTACGTTCATGGCACATTATGAAAAGGTTCTAATCTGCACCTCTGTCTCCACGTAGAATTATGAAGTTTCACGTTGCAAAGAAGAAGTTTAAAGAAACACTGCGCCCATATGATGTGAAAGACGTCATAGAGCAGTACTCTGCGGGACATTTGGATATGCTCTGTCGCATCAAGAGCCTTCAGACAAGGTACCTAACCAACCTAACTTTAAATAGCCCAAACTGTTTTCTTTTGTAATGCATTGATCCTGCATCTACACAATATTTCATGCAGAATTCTTTCATTCTGTCTCTTGATAACCTCACTGTGCCTGCCTCTCATGTGCCCTTTCTTCCTCAGATTAGACACTGTTGTGGGTCCTCCTCCGCGACCCTTCAGCAGTCGTGTCAGAAACTTCTCCTCTCCCTCTCTACATTTATATTACAGCCAGGCCCGGAGGAAGCACACAGCAGCAGGGTCAGGCGTAGCCCGTCACTCATGTCTGTTACTAACAGTTTCACCTGCTCACATTTGAGTCGCAGATCTAATCTATACTGGTTTGATCTGGGTTTTAGTAATATGTGTATACTCACTGTATACACAAACTAACAGTATAGATGTAATTAATTATTTGTGTTTTCAATATTATTATTGTATTTTATAAAGGTTTGCATTGCAGTTTTGTACATTTCTCTTGTTGGTATATTTATTCACATTAGAAGAGTAATACTTTGTACTCAGCCGTCTACTTGAATAACAGTTCACTAACTGTGTGAGGTTGTCTCCGAATAACTCTAGTTATTTGTGAGTCTGTCAGTTGTTGGTTCCTGTAGTATTGTGCTTTTGCAGCTTCAGCTGAGTGTCTGATGTGGTCTTTCTCCTGTCTCCAGTGCGACAGGCTCTGGTCCCAGCCTCAGTAGCCGTCCCAGGAACATGACCGCTCCTGCACTACACAGTTATTACAGCAACAACAGGAGAAATCGCTCAGGGTTACTTTAACTAAACTACATTTGAGCAAGAATAGCTTTGTGTTTGTAATAAAATAATATGAAAATGTGATGAACAGAAAAGCATGATGGGATGAAATTAACAGTAAATTTTCACAAGTTGTCAACTGAAGAATGTAAACATTTATATAAAAATTTATTACACACTTGCCATAATGTACTTCACTAATGTGATAGTTGTTTGACCAGATTTTGTCATCATAAAAATGTTTTTTCGTCCTGAGGAGTTTATGTATGAATGAGTACTTCTAACTGGCTTTAAAAATGTACACAGTGTGTTTTATCTTTGCATGTTGGGCCATAACATTCAGAATCCAGTGGGTTAAATGCTGGAAAATAGACCTACACAACAGAAGAGTTACCTGACCAGTCAGAACCACACACTTTGTCAAAACTTTACAAACATGAGTGGGACTGGAATTGCAGCTCTATGGTCCGCCTCCAGACCCTTCTGGATTTTAATTGAATGTCTTTGAACTGAATAACTTTGAACTGACTGTAGGACTGGCTGGTCGTGTAAAAGGATTTTGGCTTAGCAAGATTTTATATTCATATTTGCATTGTTCTGTAAATGTTCTGCCTGGCTTGAAATAGTCTTGATTTCATTTATTATGTCTTATAAGTGCTCAGTGAGAATACTTGAATAAGGATTGTTCATATGTGTATCTAGGGTGGACCAAATCTTGGGAAAAGGACAGATTTCTGCAGACAAAAAAATAAGAGAAAAACTACATCAAGATGGAGACTCAATGGAGGGCTTGAGCATGCTGGGACGAGTCTGTAAGGTAGAAAGACAGGTCAGTCTGAAAATGTTTACAAAAAAGCATTGCATCATATCTGTTCAAACTAATGTGTTATTTATTTTATTACCAGGTCAGCTCTATCGAGTCAAAGTTGGATTCTTTGTTGGATGTTTATCGCCAGGCCTTACAGAAAGGCCCCTCTGCACTCTCATCCTTGCCCCTGTTTGAACTGGACAACAACCAGAACCATAACTCAGACTACCGCTCCTCCCCGCACGGGCGCGACCTGGGTGGCAGTGGTAGAGAGGGATGTGATGGTGGCCGGCGCTCCCATGGATCCAACCCCAGGGGCCTGAGACTGATTTTAGCACCGGCTGATGATGATGTCCCACCAGACTCTGCCCCTCCGTCGTACCCACCTTCTACTGCTTCCCTGTCTCCTTCTCCACTCCTGCCCCCTGAGAGCCCCTATCCTACACTGTTAACACCCAATGTTTCCTCAAAAAGATCCCACTTTCCTGACCTGCCGCCTCTGCCCCCCTCCTCGGGACCCTTCACCCTCCAGCTGCCCCCAGTGCTCCACCCCTCCCACTTGCAATGCCCCTCAGACTCTGTCCCAGATGATTTAGAGACAGAGGAGGGCCGCCTGGGACCTTCTTTAATAGTTAGATCTAGTCTGGATGTGGATCAAGAGGATAGTGAGGTATCCCAAGAAGGGGTTGAATTGCGGCATAAGCCTGGGTTCAAGGGTGAAAGTGTGTGGAGGAGGCATATGAGTTTGGAAATCAACCCCTTACTACTACTCTCCTCTAGCCCAGACCGGAGAGCATCAGACTGGAGAAGTGGTCTGGGGAAGTCCTTGTCCGTGCACAACCTGAGCCAGGCGCAGAGAGACTGTGGCCTGTCCTCCAGACTTAACAACAGCAGCAGCAGCAGCAGTGAACAGGGCCCTGGAGAGAGCAACTGGGACGACACAGACCTGTTTATCAGTGAATGTAAACTGGCTCCTCATGAAGGACATTTTAACTTCCTGTCTCCAGGACCTGAGGCCAGCCGCTCCGAGCAGAGTGTGGAAGGCGGGGGTCCTCACACCTCAGACTTTCTCAGTCAGTCTACGCACACAGACAGGGCATAACCACTGACAGGACACTTTCAAACAGTGGTGCAGAACAAACTTCATCAACAAATGAAATGAACAGTAACATTCAGCATCTGATGTTTTATATTTTCTTTTAGCTTTGATATCTGTACATAACTTATTTCATAAACAATTCATTTTAATACTGTTGTTCTGTATTAATATTGAGTGAAAACTGTTGCAGAATTCAACATTGCCCAAACATAAATTATATCTAATAGGCCATTTATCCATGGGACATGACAAAATTTAACATTTAATATTATTTCTGTTTAACTTTTCTGTGCCCAGCTTGGTTCCTGAAGGTTAGAAGCAAAATTCCAGTTTAAGTTATTGCATTAGACTATAAAGACTTACTGAGAGCTCTATAGGCGTATCTTACAATGGGCCTTTGCTATTTATTTAAATAAAATTGACATTTAACCGTACATGATCAACTTAGATAATTTACTGATTAAAAGTAGCTATTTATTTAACTTAGCCCTTGTATTGACAATCCCTTATTTTTACAGAGTTTTGGGTGCAACATTTATCTAATTTAAAGAGTTACAGCTACTCATCTAAACCAGCTGGTTCTCAACCTTTTTATTTACGATCTATTGATGTTTGCAACCCCCCAAAACAATAATAGGCTACCAGAAAATAAATGCTTAAGTAGCCTTATCTCGAATGTTTGATTTTATTTTCAGGACTTGGACTACTAGACCTATATAAATTAAATTTGTACACCATTTAATGAAAAATTAATATTTACCATTGCATCTGAAGGTGTGACCATACCTTTTTAGACCATTGCATTTTCAGTATTTCATCTTTTGTGACCCAAGGTTGAGAACCATTGCTCAATAGAGCAGAAGTGGCCAATAATATATTTTGTATGTGAACCAAAAATACATATCAGTTTAATCAGCCTTGTTTTTGCCAACAATTCAATATGTAGCTCTGTTAAGAATGGTCCAGTCCTGTGTTGTCACAGCAGTCTTAATTGTTAACATAGCTGGCATTTAAATTTACTTGAATTAACTAAAATATTAGTAGTCCTATTTAGCAAAATACAGATGTCAATAAAGGCTTAAGTTATGAAAACTACCCTATGTCTTTGTGAAAAAGGTTGATCCTGAAAATGTGAAAATAGTTGTCTAGGCCAAAATGAAGAGAAAGAAAGATAGGCCACTCAACACTCTATACATTAGGTCTGGGTCACTGTCTGGTCTACTCCAGGTCTATTTTGAATTGTACTTTTTAAATTATTATTTACAGGGCTTCAGGTACCAGGCCTATGGACTGAGGTTACTGATGCTGGTACAAGTGTCATGCTTGCATCTTGGGACTTAGACTTTGTTCAGTGACTACAGAAATAGCCTTAATACACATGTTTATTTGAAATTCATACAAAAATGCACGTTATGTTTGGAATGAAAAAATGTAAAAATCATTTTAAAAGGGCCTACTTTAATAAAGACCAACTTCAGAACCTGATGTCTTATGTGTTTTCATATAACCTTTGATGCCTGGGCAAAACATAAAATAAACTTGTGTAAAAAGTTTATTTACACATTTGTTTTTTGTTTTGGTTATTTTAATATAGACCCTTCAAAGTTTGTAAACATTGTGCTTTCTCGGGAGCGGGGCTGAACGGACTATGGCGCTCACAAGTGTAAACTAGTACGTTTTAGGAGGGATTTTGTGGCTTTTAAACATGGAGGGTGCAGAAGGAATGCCAGGTTCGGTTGAATTCGATCTCGGAACCGTCTGACCCATACCACGCACAGGAGTGGCACGAAGCTGTGAATGATCCAGTGAGTGTTTAACCGAGTAAAGTGACAAACACAACTCAGTGGATGCAGTAAACAGTATAAAAAAAATGTGTGTGACGTCACTTGACCCCATAAATGAGGATTGTGGGAAATTAAGTCCTATCGTAGTAGTTCTAGTTGAGTGCCCAGCATTTTGATCTTAAAATGTTCGTATTAATTCCACATGATCCAGTTTTTTTGTTTGTTTCTTTGTTTGTTTGTTTTTTTTTTTTCGATCCTGCTGTTTTGTCCGTCACAAAATCCTATTCATAATATAGAGTCTGGCTCCAAATTCAGCCCTGTAACCGTGAGCATCAGTAGCTTCGGTTGAGTGGCGCTGAACCGTAGACTGTAAATATCAATGCGCGGAACCCTGCCCATCTCAGGTGCGCTGCAATCAGAGGCCGCGGAAAGATGTCTGACTGGGAAGATGAATACAACGAACATGGCGTTGCAATTCACAAAAACAGGACTAAACCGGCTCCTGCTACGTGGGATGTTCCACACAAAGGTCGGGAAAGGGAAAACATTTCTTTTGGCTTTAAAAGTGGCAGGAGATTTGTTACCCCGAGCGATGGACGGTCTGAAAGCTACATTCATAGTGATTCCCAAGAGCAAAGGTGGAGAAGTGAGGGGCCTCCGAGGCACGGCCGGGACCATGGAGCTCCTTCTCGGCGACCGTTCAGAGACGGAGCGGAGTCCAGGACCGTCACTATTAATGTGGATAATGCTTTGGTCGGCAGAGTCATCGGTAAGATCAGAGTCTGCTAAATCATGTGCTCTGTGCCTTAAACTATGTTAGCTGTCTAAGCTAACATGTTAACACGTGGCTTTTCATATTTGTTTAACCGACGAACTATCCAGCACATATATACATCTACTATATTAAAAATGTAATATATATATATATATATATATATATATATATATATATATTATTATTATATCATTATAAAAATATATAAAAGAAAGTTTAAAACTAATAGATAATACCCTGCCTTGGAAAATGTTTAAGGACGAGGAGGGAGCAAGATCCATGAACTTGAGGAGCGCTCTGGTGCTAGAATCAAGGCAAGTCTTGCAAAGTTTACAAGAGAGGGAACGAGTGTGTGTGTCTGTGTAAAAATATTAATTACAGGCACAGTTTGTTTTCTGGATAGTATTGCACTTTTCCCATTATAGATCAATAAAGGAGACTATGAAGGTGAAGTGTCCATATTTGGCCCTCCCTCTGCCCAACAAAAAGCCAAGGAAATGATTGAAGAACTTGTGTCAGATGGCTTTTCACAGAGGCGCGATGGTAGCTTAAAAAAAAAAAAGTATTAAAGGATGTTTGGCAGTGTATATGCTACTAATGTTTGTAACATGCTCCTTTCATGGTGAAGGAAATGACTATGGTGGTGAAGGAGGAGATGGCTCTGTTTGGTCAAGTTCCCAGTTGAAGTCTGCAGAAGTGGCCCCACCCCGACCACAGATTGACTGGAACTCCATTAGAGAAAACAAGGATAAGTTTGAGGAACTGAAGTGGGAGGGTAAGGACATATAACATGTGTAAGATTGCAGTTGTGATTGACTGCATTTGAATGTTTTTATCAACAGGCCTGCCACCATTAAAAAAATACTTTTACAAAGAGTGCAAAAGTGTATCCATGCTGACAGCTGAAGAAGTCAGCGAGTGGAGGTAATTGAATAAAAAAAAAAAATGCTTTAACTGTACAGCAGAGGGCATAATTGAACACTGTTCATAACTATCTATTCCTCCATCTACCTCGATCTATCTCTGGGTCTGACATAAACATTTAACATTTTACCTAATTATGCAATTATTTTATTATTCATACATAACTACTGAGTGCTATTAAATGTGTTTGTTTCTTTACAGGAAGGGCAACAACAATATTTTTGTAGATGATCTAAAGGAGGAAGGAGAAAAACGTCAGATTCTTAATCCCTGCCGTACATTCCTTGAGGCTTTTGAGCATTATCCAGAAATTATGGAGAACATTGAGCGTGTTGGCTTTGTTAAACCGACCCCTATACAGGTGTGACTAGTGTTTATTTCTCTGGATAAGGATCATGCAGTTTCAAACATTTTGGACTGGATAGATGTCATTATTGTAATATAGGTGTATTGTTTAAAAACTCTAGTATCTAATTGATCTGATTCATGCAAAGGTGCACTGTAAAGTAGAGTGAAGTACAAGGTTGTCAGACTGGTTCCAGGGTTCTTTAAAAGTGAAACTAAAAGCTACAAATGAGTTATAGTTTCATTTTCCTGGAAACTACTGAGTTTTGCTGGTACACTACAATACAACATCTTTAGAATGTAGACTACGTGGCAGTATTAAAAAAAAGTAAACATTGGGTAAATGGCCATAATATATAACATATTGATTTAATGCTGATACAACTGCACCTTGTATAAGTTTTAATAAACCCTAAATATTCAAAATCTCTGCTCTTACTGATTGCAGTCACAGGCATGGCCTGTGTTGCTATCTGGAGAAGACCTCATAGCCATTGCACAGACAGGAACGGGGAAGACACTGGCATACCTGCTGCCTGGATTTATTCATATGGATGGACAGCCTGTGTATGTGAAGGTTTAGCTTTACAGTGACATTTTCTCTTATGCTTTTAAACAGCCTTACCTATTATAACACTATGCTGTTCTGGTTAACTTTGATGTGATATAAACTTTTCTTTTTCAGTCCTAAATCTGAGAGAGGAGGCCCAGGTATGTTGGTTTTGACTCCCACGAGAGAGTTGGCATTACAGATTGAGGCAGAATGTGGCAAGTATCAATACAAGGACTACAAGAGGTACTAATATCAAAAAATGTAAAAGTGGTTCATGTAATTTAAGTATACAATTGCTGCATTTCTGTGGTTTGCAGTATCTGCATTTATGGAGGAGGGGACAGACGGGGTCAGATCAACATGGTCAAAGCCGGAGTGGATATTGTGATTGCCACACCAGGTCGACTCAATGATCTACAAATGAATGAACTCATCAATCTACGCTCCATCACTTATTTGGTTTGTGATTATTTGTGTCTTAGATTGAAAAATTTAACAAAAGTAAATGAATTCTTTTTTGAAGGTTCTTGATGAAGCAGACCGAATGTTGGACATGGGTTTTGAACCACAGATTATGAAGATTATCCTAGACATCAGGCCAGATCGACAGACTGTTATGACAAGGTATGGCCTTGTTGCTTAAAACTTAGTTGTAATTACATTTACTATTTTTTACACCCCTGTTAGTGCCACCTGGCCCTCTGGAGTTCGACGACTGGCCAAATCTTATCTGAAAAATCCCATGATGGTTTATGTGGGCACACTGGACTTGGCAGTAAGTAAATGCTTAGTTTTGACAGACAATGATAACATTGGGTAATGTTACAGATGTTTTTTCTCCCCCCGACATAGGCCGTCAACACTGTGAAGCAGAACATTGTTGTTCTTGCTGAAGATGAGAAGAAGGCTTTCCTGTTAGATTTTATCAGAGACATGAAGCCAGATGATAAAGTCATTATTTTCGTTGGCAAAAAGATCATGTAGGCTATCACTAAACATGTGCACACTGAAACCCTAACCAAATGCAAAGAATTCCTTATTCTTTTTTTCATAAATATCAGAACTATAATCCTCCCCTAATGCTTTAATGTGGAGCCCTGTTAAGTGGCAAATAAATGTGAAGAGAAAAAGGGCTGTGGGATTTGGCATAGAGTGGGTTGAGCAGCTATGCTATCAGTGCAGTTTTGAAGATCTCTTGGTTTGACACATTTGGGGCTCCAGCGTAAATGCAGCAAGTCACAGATCATACAAATGGTGCAAAAATTTCCTCACCTACAGAAGTCCAGAGCCCCTTCATCGAGGCTGCTTTAGTCCTGAATTCTATTAATAGCTTATGTGCAGGTTCCTATGATGATCAGTTTAACATTTTACCTGGTTAAATAAAAACACCCACACATTACTAGTGAGCTCACTGTATGAAAGAGTGTTATGTTGGTCTTGTTTAGTGCAGATGATCTGTCGAGTGACATGTGTCTGAAGGGTCTTGCAGTTCAGAGTCTCCATGGTGACCGTGAGCAGTGTGACCGTGAAGAGGCACTCAAGGATTTTAAAAACAGTATGTCAATGAACTGAAATTTAAGAGAAATTTTTAGCTTTAAAAATGTGTGTCTTTCAGGCAGAGTTCGTATCCTCGTGGCCACTGACCTTGCATCGCGTGGGTTGGATGTAACAGACATCACACATGTCTTCAACTTTGACTTTCCTCGAAACATAGAGGAGTATGTTCATCGCGTGGGCCGCACAGGCAGAGCTGGGTACATGTGTCTTCTATTGTGTACTTCCAGTGGCAGACCGTGCATTTCACACCTAGGCCTTCAGTAGTGCTCCATCTGAAACAATCCACTCCTCAATAACTGTTTTGTGGTTATAAAAGCCATCTTATTATACAGAAGCATAGTATAAAGAGCCATGGAGATTCCATGCATGGAGAAATGATGAGAGGGGTGTGTGCGGTGCACGGAGAAGTGAGGAGTGCTGGGGTGCTAAATCAGGACTTTTTGTCGGGACCTGAAGGTGCACCCGTGTAGACTGTCGGTTGACCGGAGATGAAGGGACTCAGCGCCGCAAGGGACTCATTTCAGCTGTCGGCTGATTGTGCTTTGAGGACACCCTGCTCCGCGGACTCGCTCTCTCACTCTCTTGCACTCTCTCAAGTCGAAGATAGTCCTGATTTAGACCTGGTTTAGACCTGGTTCCACTACAGATGCAGTTTGCTGCTTTGGCTCCTGCAAACTCTGACTGTCCAGTCAGCGAGTCTGAATACGGTGACATCGTACGCCTGCTAGAAGGCCCTGGCGATACCAACTCAAAATCTGATTGGTTGAAGCAACAGTTTCATGGACATTTATTTTGTGTTTGAGGTCCTGCAGAATGGATTGTGAAAGCCTCATGCACGCTTCTTTGACTTTGACTCTACCTGGCAACAAATGATGGCTGAAATGTGATTGGTCAAATGCTTTAATATAAAAATACATGTCTGGAAGCAGCACAAGCATTGTAAAAGCTCTGAAAGGAAGTGAACAAACCATTTGGAATTATTTAATAATATAATTAACATCAGTCTGATTCAGATCATTTTTTAGGCCAGCAGAGAAGGCCTTGCAGGTCCCGACACCCCACCACTGTGTACATCACATTTACGTAATTCTGTGCTTATATGCTGGCAATGCTAATACTAAAAAAAACTGTTGAATCTTGTTCCAGGCGGTCAGGTACTGCTGTTACCTTGGTGACCAGAGACAACTGGAGGATGGCCCCAGAGTTGATTCACATTCTCGAGCGAGCTGGGCAGGTGACTCTTACTACCTTCTAATTGAAATCTAATATATAAGCACTGGTTGAATTATACAAGCCACGTTTTATATTTGCAGGAGGTCCCTACAGAATTGGTGCTGATGGCTGAAAGGTATGAGAAGCACAAGCGAGAGAGGGAGATGTTTCCACGAGAGGGACGTGGAGGAGGAAGAGGAGTAGCAGGTGGAGGAAGACGGGGGGGCTGGAGAGACAGAGGAGAGAGGAGAGATGGAGGTCGCAGAGATCGGGAACCAAACTGGGGATTCTGATTCATTTTTTTATACTACAATTTGCATTGTTTTATGTTTGACACACATATATATATATATATATATATATATATATATATATATATATATATATATATATATATATATATATATACATACACACACACACACACACACACGTCTTTCTCTACAGGAACTGGAAGGCACCCCCTTTGTCCTTTTTATTCAAAGTATGTTTTATGTACAGTTCAGTTACCTCTCATTGTTTTGTTTTTTACTTGGAAAATAGCTAGAAATTACTTAAACATTCTTCATGTTTGACAAGTTGATAAATTTGGTGAATAACTTCATTTTGACAAACTGTGTTTAGTTTTATTCACTGTTAAATATTGTGTACTTTACTTTTGCTTTTATTTTTATATGGTTGACTGAATACAAGTTTGTGCATGATAAATGAAAAATATTTGATTTGAAAAGATTTTTTCTGAATTAATAGTTCAAGCATCAAGAAGTATTAGTAGTATCAATTAGTTATAAATTAGCATTTAAATATAGGAAATCCCTCTTCTCGCTCCTTTTGGATACGCAGAGCTAGACTTTTGCAGCTTTTCTGGCTGCAACCAGAAAGTAAATTTTGGGTAGGGATGAAGAAGTTGTTGAGCTGCTTGCTTTCCAAGTGACCTTCAAAATCCTTTAGGAGTTGCTCAAAGCACTGTGTCAGGTCTGTGGCTGCCCATTCACTGTCTTTAGCCCTGGAGCAGCAAGCATGGAGGAAGGTAGTTTTCACATGATATGAGCAGAACTTGTCAAATGACTCATCCTCTTCCTTAAGAAGGCTAAGGAGATGCTTCAGCAGCTTCACGCAATCTTTCCTGTTTGATAAGTAGAAGTTACATATTTGTAGACTTTCTAGTAACTATAATTATTATATAATAACATAATGAACACAATTAAAGCCAAGCAATTATGAGCACAAAGTCACCTGCAGCAACGAGCACCATCTTTCTCGCAGCACGTCTTTTCTGATCCATGATTTTTTAAGATGTCTTTCTCCACATGAGAAAATGAAATACGCCAACAATCTGCATTTGAAAGAATACAATTGTAAAAGAAGTGCACGTGTTGCAAACACATGCTTAAATGGCTTACAAGTTCCCCATAACACAGAAAAAACGGTGGACTATGTTTATTTTATATTATGTGCATTACATACCCTTGGCAAGAATTCCATTGCATTCATCTGTACCCCTGCCCTCATATTTTGGAACAAGGTAGTACGGCTTGTATGTGAAGTTTTGTTTTACTTTTCTTCCGAGCCAACCTTCTATTTTCAAGCCTCCCTTTGTGAAAGTTGGCCAGCTGGACTGAACAACAAGGCACAATACAATGTCAAGTGAAATGACACGTGACTCAACTTTTATACTGAGTGTCACAGCAGGACATCCTTTCTTCTTTTTATCAATATCCACATCTGAAACACAACGCATTTGTTTGCATATTTAGAAATATATTATTGCGTAGCCTACTCACTCCCCATGGACACATGTTTTACACTTACCTTCATTCTTAATGCTGTCAATAACTTCTCTTCTAAACTCCTGTAGTATTTCACTTGCAGGTAAAGGTTTTCCCTCTTGCTGAAACTTTTTTAGTGGGTTATACCCACGTTTTAAAGACACAACATAAAATGCTCCATCCCCAGAATATGGCTGTATTTCTATGCGTTCAACAGGAATGGGGAACATTATATCAAACTCATCTGGGTTGGAAATCTACAAGTACAAACACAGATTTAAAAAAATATACATTTCTGAAACAAATGTCTAATCTTACCTTCAAATTTTCATAGTAGCTGCCAGTGTGAAGTGGATTATCTACTTGCCTAAAGTAAATAGTTTTATTTTTTAAATGTTCCAGAATGACGTTCTCTACTTTGTTAATTACTTGTGAAGCTTTCGATTTCTCATTCATCCTGATTTTAAGTTTGTCCAGTGTTGCTTTAAGTGTGGTGCTTGGTTCCTTCTTTTCAGCAGTATTTGCTTTTTTACTGTCATCGAGGGAAAGTTGCATTTTAACTTGAGTCATTCCTTTTATTGATGATTCAGCTTGTTCAACACAGGAGTTCCTGCCTTGGTCTTTTCTGCCTTTGATGTAAGCTCCATTGTATTCATTCTTTTTGTTGGCTGGTGATTTGGTTTCGGCCCCACATGTTTTCGCATTTGCAGCACTGCCTGCACAGTTGACCTCATTTTCTTGGTTCATGTCTGGAGAATCATCATCAGTACAAGATCCCTTTGCAGATTTCTTCCTTGTTGTTTTCTTTGGAGCCTTTTTGATTTCTGTGTTCTCTAATTTCAATTTGTCCTGGGCACCACACATTTTAGGTTTTGTGCCACTGGCTGTAGAGTAAAATTTAGTTGTTTCCTGTACTGTGGTGGTCTGAATGTCTTCTTGGTTCGTGTCTGGAGAATCGCCTTCAGTACAAGATCCCTTTGCAGATTTCTTCCTTGTAGTTTTCTTTGGAGCCTTTTTGATTCCTGTGTTCTCTAATTTCAATTTGTCCTGGGCACCACACATTTTAGGTTTTGCGCTGTTGGCTGTAGAGTTAAATTTAGTTGTTTCCTTTGCTGTGGTGGCCTGAATGTCTTCTTGGTCCATTTCTGGAGAACCGTCTCTACCAGAAGATCCTGTAATGTTTTCTGGAGTTTTTTGTCGATCTTCATCAATATTTTCCAAAGATATTTTTTTCCCTTCTGTTTGTTCCTCGAAGGTGTTCGTCTGCTTTTTCCTTGCCAAAGATATCTGTGTACCTCTGGAGGTTGAAGTTGAAGTTACTGTTCTTGCTTTAGGAGCCCCATTGGTATACTTTGCCTCTGGACTTTGTGCTGTGCGTGGCTTCCCTCTTCCAGGCATGATAATGAATGCCTGTCAGGATCTATTCAAATCATTTCATGCAAACTGACACTCCCCTTTGTATTACGGCTTCCAACAATGTAATGTAATGTGATGAAATGGCTACATCTTGTGGTCAGACCAAGAGGTAGTTCTTGTATTGAAAGAACACATTTTTTTGTGAAATGTTTAATGTCTTGTGGCTCATGCCAGTATAGAATAGTAAAGTGCAGTAGCATGTCATTGTTCTACTTAAGTGAAAGTACAAAATCAGCAAAATTCCAATTAAAGTGCTTAATGATTGAAGTACTTCACTTCATAAGGGAAAAGGCAAACTTTCACATCTTTTGATATGTGTTTAAAGCTTATACAGACAGATCTAATACAAACAACAGAGTTAAACTGTTAATTATGTTGCCTATTACCTATTGAGCACTGCAGTAACAACACAAGAGAACCACACTCATTTACTAAATAGTAAAGTACTGAAGAGCTTGTTATCACAGAAAGATATTGCCACAAATCTGTACACCTCCAGCACTGGTGTTACATTGAATGATACAATTTAAGCATTACTACATTTAGTTGGTAGTGCCCTATTAAGAAGTTTTTTTTTTTCCTTCTAATGCTTTTCCGGTGCATTGTTGTAAGCCAGTCCTTGTTTACCAGGTTAAAATGACCACTTGGATGTAGGAGAGCAGATGTCCTTTTACATGAGATGTTGGGGCTGGCAGATGAGCACAGCATTCATTTGTTCCTCTGGGCCTTCTGGGCTGATTTTGTGACTTTACCAGTGGTGGAAGCCTTCTTATCCACACCTTTGATTACACCAACAGCCACAGTCTGACGCATGTCACGCACAGCAAAGCGACCTTCAAGGAATACAGACATGGTGACTTTTTCTGAGAATAGTACAAATATATACATTATATTTTTAATTTCAATGAGAATTATTACTCTTGTTCACTGCCTAGTTGAAAGTGAATACTATACTATAACAATAAAAACATGCACCATAGGTCCAATGACTCCAGGAATAATAGCTGTGCTAATAGCAAATGGAGGTCAAAATAAATACAAATACTCAATACATTTTAAATTGTCTTTCAAGCAAGAACAGCAAGAAAGTCTTGGAAGGTCAGTAAATAATGTAATTTTAGTTTCTCAATGCATTTTCACAATACTCACCGAGTGGGGGGTATTCAGAGAAGCTCTCAACACACATGGGCTTCCCAGGAATCATATCTACAATAGCAGCATCTCCGGACTTGAGAGATTTTGGATTGTCCTCCAGCTTTTTTCCAGAACGTCGATCAATCTTTTCTTTTAGTTCTGCAAACTTGCAGGCGATGTGTGCAGTGTGGCAGTCCAGCACTGGAGCATAACCAGCACTGATTTGCCCAGGGTGATTCAGGATAATCACCTGCACAGTAAAAAGATTGTTTGAGTCAGTCTGAAATGAAACTACAGCAAAAACAAAATGTATACTTCAGCGTTTAACATATCCATTTGACCTCTTTTTCGTATTACAATTTGTACCTGGGCAGTAAAGTTCGCAGCCTCCTGGGGAGGGTCATTCTTGCTGTCCCCAGCCACATTGCCCCGGCGAATGTCTTTAACAGACACATTCTTGACATTGAATCCCACATTATCTCCAGGAAGTGCTTCAGTCAGTGCCTCATGGTGCATCTCCACTGATTTGACCTCTGTGGTCACATTGACCGGGGCAAAAGTCACCACCATCCCGGGCTTTAAGATGCCGGTCTCCACGCGGCCCACTGGCACTGTCCCAATACCTGTAATTGTATACATCACTTGTAACAAGCTTCTTATGTGCGAGCACTGTTGAAGTAACAAACTGCACCTCCTATTTTGTAAACATCTTGCAACGGAAGACGCAAGGGTTTGTCTGTTGGACGTGTTGGGGGCTGAATAGCATCCAAAGCCTCCAGAAGTGTGGTCCCAGATGCACTGCCTTCTTTTCTGTTTATCTTCCAGCCCTTAAACCATGTCATCTAAAAACATACACGACACCTGTTAGCTTCACAAACCACCGTGACTCATGCAACCTTAAACACACTTTTTAGTATAAATCATTGTAAATTCCATAAGAAATTAAGTTATATGTTGCACATCCTAGTTAAAGGGCATTCAAAACAGTAGTCAAATAGTTTTTATTTGCATTTCTATGGTGCTTACTTACATTGGGGCTTGGTTCCAGCATGTTGTCTCCATTCCAACCTGAAATGGGAACAAAAGCGACTGTGTCTGGATTGTAGCCAATCTTTTTGATGTAGGTGCTCACTTCTTTCACTATTTCTTCATAGCGTTTCTGGCTGTAGTTTGGTTCAGTAGAGTCCATTTTGTTAATGCCCACAATGAGCTGCTTCACACCCAATGTATAGGCCAGAAGTGCATGCTCTCGTGTCTGGCCGTTCTTGGAGATTCCTGCTTCAAACTCTCCCACACCTGCTGCCACAATCAACACTGCACAATCTGCCTGTGTGCAAAATAAACATTTAGTAATGTGACAGTTCCTCACTTTCAACCTCACAAAAAGCTAAGATTACCTGGGATGTACCAGTGATCATATTCTTGATGAAGTCCCTGTGTCCTGGAGCATCAATAATGGTAACATAATATTTGCTAGTTTCAAATTTCCACAGTGAAATGTCGATTGTAATGCCACGTTCCCTTTCTGCTTTTAGCTTGTCCAGGACCCAGGCATACTTGAATGAACCTTTCCCCATCTGAGAGTCAGATCAATGTCAGTATCAATGTCAATGAGAGATTTTAAGTTTTTGGATTATTTTGACATGATTTATTTCAGGGCATTATCTATACTTACTTCTGCAGCTTCCTTTTCAAATTTTTCAATTGTTCTCTTATCAATACCTCCACATTTGTATATAAGATGTCCTGTGGTAGTGGATTTGCCAGAGTCCACGTGACCAATCACAACAATGTTAATGTGGAGCTTCTCCTTTCCCATAGTCGCTGAAGACTGTTTTGATCTGCTGATTAATAAATCACAATATTGGATCACAAAGTCAAAACTGCTGTGTTTAGCCTCAGAGAAATTCAGACAAATGCAAACGTCTGAGGTTAATCGTTGATGCAATTGAGTGTTTTAAATAAGAGCCCTCTTTTAATCTTTTAATCAATGCTCCTTTACCTTAATCATCAGAAACCTCTTGTACCACGCCTGTGCTGCATTACCATTTAAAATGTGACTTGTTTTTTTTTCTCCTTAAACAAAGTCCACAATTTTCTTGGTTTGTTTGGGATGTTGCAGTCATGTGCAGTTGCAAACATTCACCTCTGTTAGTGTCAAAAATATGTGGTGGCGATATGAAATAAACATGAATTCTTGGCAATAATGATAATCTAACGAGACAAAACAACTGTGTTAGTCTGTAACTATGCAGGCCTGTCTGTATCCAGGCAAGCCAGGTATGGGCCAGCAGCCTAACCCTAGTGCAACTTGAATCCCACAAGATCCTCCCTAGACCTGAGCAGGTGACTGAGCACATCCTCAGGCACTGCACATAGTCGCCCTTCTCGCGCCCATGGTACACTTTGACGAGATGACGCAGTAACCACACAAATAAACACACACACCAAAACCAAATATGTCGACCCTCTAGCAGATTTAGTGAAAATGCAACCCGCCATGTTCCCATTTATGTGCATATTATTGTGCGTCAAACGTCAGGACTCGTGGTGAAACGAAAGGTGACTAAAAGACTATAAGAGTCCCATTCTGATAATGTGCATTGCATATACTGTGTCGTACCTGTAAAGTGGAGGGTGTCAGGTTGTCTGGTCTGTAGGAACGGAGAGACGCAGAGTGCAAACGCTGATCCGGTTATAGCGCACAGGACAGGCGGGGATATTGCGTAATACGTACTCGTTCGCTGGCTTTGCAGCGTCTCAGGAGCCAAGCGCATCCGTGCTCACTGAATAAATATCGACTTCTGCGAGGTGAGATCAAATAGTACCGGTTTAATCACTACCTTTCCAGTATTTCTCTAACTTTAGGTAACTCTACTCGATCTATGTTTATGGTATTTACATACAAGTGGCGTTTAATGTGTCTTTGAATATTTTCATGACTGAATCTGTTTGAAAATGTCTTCAAATGAATCAGCCTTTAAAGAAGAACAAAACTCGCAAAATAGTTTACATAAACATTTCATTCACCTTTAAGACAGCGGCTACATAGTTGAAGTAAAATTGCTAGGCACCATCACAGTAAAATCATATAAACAAATATTTAAAAAGTAATTTTATAAAATGACAAAACTAGACGTTTGACCTAGTTTAAAGTCAAGGCACAAGCTATAAATGCCATCCATGACTTAAGGAATAAAGGGTTTTACAATCAGGAACTAATTGGTACAATATTAAGATACTATTAAAAGTAACTTGTGTATCCTGCCAACTGTGAAAAATAAATCATATATATTCTTGATTCCTGAGGAATGAAACAGGGTGCAAAATCCTGTATGAAAGCTCTTGGTCACAGACTCAACTCAATAAGTCTTCTTTCATTTGGTTCCCTTTTGTAGTGTTGAACAGACATCTTATTCATATAGAATATTTTCCCTATTGAGAACAGACAAAAAGACAGAAAGACAAGTGCAGATACATACTACAATTAATCGTAAAATAAACAGATATTAAAAGGCTTTTCCCTCAAATATTTGTGCGTACAGAAATGGCAACTTTAAAGTAGCTTATGTTTTCATCCTTACTATAAAGTCAAGGACAACACATACCCCTCAGAAACCATGCAAGGTAATAAGCTAGCTCTTTTACAATTACTAACTTTTTAGTCCTTAAGATCTCATCTGCCATTTATTCTCAATATAAAATACCATTAATGCAGACTGGTATTTCAACAAAATCTCATTTCCTGTCTCAGTCCCCGTGGTTAAATGTTGTCTTAACTGCCCATGGCTGAACAGAACCTTGACCAAATGCTGTGTAAAACGTTGCTCCAAAAAGGTTGATGGCAGCAGCAATGTAGAACACAGTCTGCCATTCCTCCATGGTGTTCTGCAAAACATATACATAAATACATTAAATTGCAATCTCTGCCCAAAAATTACAAAAAAAAAAATAATAATAATACATTCACCACAAGAGGTCGCCACAACACCTCTAAATATAACTCATGTCCCTGATGTACAGGGTCGGATGTGTGGCTGAAGTGTAGCGGTACAAAAATAGTTGACATTTTTGGCATTTTTTGTTATTTAGTAAAATGCAAAACCAACTGTTACTTCTAAATGTAAATGAGCACATATTGTAGTTTTCTTACATTTGCAGTAAGTGATCTTGCTATAACTGGTCCAACCATTCCAGGAATAGTGGCAAAAGTGTTGGTGATTCCGAGAAGAATTCCAGCAAACCTGCAAAAAAAAAAAAAAAAAAACATTTAGTCAAAATGTGAAAGCTGACAGATAAACCCGTTTAAGTTCTGGTGTTGGTACAGGTCCTTACGACGGAGCAATGTCCAGGTGGTTGATGTTGAAGCCAGATGCAGACACTCCACCCAATGAAGAGGAGATTGTCAGAAAAGTCACAGCTAATGTGTAATTACAACCCGTATATCCTGCTGCCACCAAGAAAACGGCCGGGCCAATCATACCTATAGAAAAAAAAAGAAGGAAAAAGTTTTGCATAAATCAGCAAAACTATAAAAAGATGTCCAAAATATACAATATATGGTTTAAAGCTTTATACAGTTAATATGCAAAAAATATTATTCTACCCCAAATGTAAATTGTGGAGAGCAGAGGCACTGGCTAGTTAAAAATATTCTAAAAACAAAGATGAGAATCTGATCTGATATGATTGACAGTGTGTGTGTTTTGCAGTGGCACTACACATTTTTCCACTGCAATATAAAATCTACAGTATTTGCATCAACATTTCTTCAAAATGTGAAATTTGACATTTTACTGTAGTCTGTAACGATATGCATTAGCCACGGTGTTCTGTGACTGAAATTCACTTACCCACAAGTGAAAAAGCTTTCCGGACCCTGACAGTTGGACAGTTGCGTGTTTCTCTCAGGTAATCAGCAAGCTGGCCACTGAGCACTGCTAATATGGCACAGCCGAAAGTAAGGCAGGGCTGACAGCATACCGTTCTTAAAAGAACAAAGATTGTCAGCTGTTATGTTCTGATAACCTGACATTACTGTGCATATGTTTACGCAGAGACCTACTCTATGGTTCAAGAAAAAAAATCTGCCACTCAGATAAAACTTCACACAATAGAAGAAATCATAAATAATTTCAATTGGATTAAGATTGTAGTGTTCAATAGAAAGAGCATCTATTACCGAGTTATCTTTGAGTTAGATTAAAATTTTATAGAGCCCATATTAAGTAATTTTCTGATCTATGTTATGTTTCCTCATCAAAATCATACCTGGAGTGGTGTTTTATTTCATTAAAGCATTTTTAAAACAAATCCTTCAGTTCTGGAATTGCCACTGTCTACAGAACAAAAGGTAAATGAATGTGACTCACACACCTGTTGTATACTAAATCCAAGAACATCTTTCATGTAAGTTGGCAGCAGTGTGAGGAGAGTGTAAAAAGTCCAGTTATAGGAAAAGTGAGCCACGACAATGGCCAGAAGTGGCACTGACGTCACTATAGATCTCCAGGGAATGTGGTCTGTAGAAGTAGACAGCTTTGCACAACAAAAACACAATGTTAACACAGCAGTTTATTATCAGGTTTATCAGACACTTCTGCTTTACTGTTTAATGTTTGCTACAGTTATACAGCATTTTAAAATGCCGTTTCATGCTTCATTGTTTGACAAAACATGCAGGTGAAGCCAATAAGATTATGAAATGGTTTGTGTAACATGCACTTCAATGAGCAGAGCAGACTCAAATCAATATACCATAATAATATATTTTTAGCTTTACCTCATTCTTGAGTGAGGAGATGATATATGATCTCTCTTGCTCTGAAATCCTTGGATGATCATTTGGACTATTTGAAACAAGCAAAGCCCATAAGACGAACCACAGCAGTCCAACAGCCCCTGGAAACAAACCAAACATACAGAATCACTGCAAGGAAATTGTGCTGCCTTCTCCTTATTTACAATAAATAATGATACATATAAATGTATGTATCAATTATGTTCTGTTGCAATTTACCAAACAAATAGAAGACATAAGTCCAATCCAAGTAAAAGCAAATTTCACCAGACAGTGGAAGGGCTATAACTGTTCCAAGTTGGGCTCCTGCAAAAAACACAGTTAATGTTTTTTGATCATATAGTGATAGTGATGGTCAGTTTAGTTTCCTGTTATTTAAACTGGTTTGTACATGATGCTAATTAAACCCTTGTGTGGTCAACGCATCTTACCTATATATGAAATAGTAAGCAGTCGACTTCTCTCCAAAGGTGGGGCCCATGCTGCCCACATAGTGTACATTGCAGGAAAAGTTACTCCCTAACAACAAAAACACAATATTACAATTATGCAATGATCCAGTGCACAACCTATAAAATTTGTACCAATTCAGTAAATGTCAGTTTCATACCTCTCCTACTCCCTCTAATGCTCTCACAGCAATGAGGTAGCCAGCTCCCCAGTCAGCAGCTACAGGTGTGAGCAATGTAAAGAGGACAGTTCCTAAAACGCCAAGGCCAAAGAGCCACTTGGGTCCGAGGCGTCCTGCCAGATATCCTCCTGGGACCTGTGTCAGGATGTAACCATAAAAGAAGGAGCCAAGGATCCAACCCTGAGTTTCAGAGTCCCAATTATAAACACTGGCCTGCAAAACACATTTATAGAAAATACAGCTTGTTATTACATGTTTGTGAGGGTGCAGATTACTGGGGGGTTTCTATTTATTCCTGGTTGGTTCAAAAATATTCTAGTAGTGGATGTTTTTTAGGGGTTCTTAGAAGATGTCTAAACTACATTGATGGTAATGTAAGAATGCCATGTTAACTGCCTCTATAAAGCATTGTATAATCATAACTTTTTCATAACAGCTTTATAAACCAGGAAAGGGGGGGGGGGGGGGGGGTTATTAGTTATTAATGGGATAGACATGGGTGCTGACACACCAGTATTCACACTTGTCTGACTGCACATTTGGTTAAACTTACCGTGTGATTGCGTTTGGGTCGTGGAGGGTCAAAATGCGCGGGGCACACGGACGAGGAGTTAGTATTGGCGTGGTGGTTGGTGTTATTGATCATATCCACCATGGCCACGCTGAGGTTCACGCGTAAAGAGTAAACCACAAAAAAGCCGTACGAAGAAAGCAATGCCAGACCATAGCGGGCAGAACAGCACACCGGGGCTACAGGCAAATAAAACAATACACTTATTATTTGATCCCGTCCAGGAGTGAAGTAATTAAAAACTGGATAATTGCATTCAATATTGCTAAATAATAAAGAAATGTTGGATAAAATTGCATGCATCCGGACAGTGTGTGCTTTTTTAATCCATAAAGTAGTTCTACATATTTGTCCAGTCAGCATGCATAACAATAAAATACATTATTTTACCTCTTTGGACTCGTTTTTCTTTGTCTCCATGGAGCAACGGGGTCTCTTGCTCGTCCCCCTCTCCCTCCGATCCGTACCGCTCCATTCTGGGTTGTTTAAAAGGTTTGTTCACCACATTACTGGACTAAAAAAAAAGTCAAAAACAGTGCCAGCTCGTCAGCAACATCAGCTGAGTGAGTGTACCAGGAAGTAAACCGATCACATGACAGAGGAAACCCGGATTCTAGTCACGTGGGCGTGGATGTGGGCGCGTCAACTCTTTGTTTATACAGATTATTTTATTTTTAAATGACGTTATATATTAACATTTAAGGCATATGTTTCGCCAGTTGAATAACGGCAAATGGCGTTGTATTTAAGATTAGATGAGGATTTACAAGACTAGGTCACTGGCGATATTTTACTAAAAGGTTATGAACAATAATTATGATGTAAAGCAGAAGTAACATTTGTTTAGAAATTGTTCTCTAGAGTCAGTGGATTTTTTTTTCTTCAGTTTTTTAAAATTGATTTTTGGGGATTTTTTTAAATTTATTTAGATTTAGATTTATTTATTTATTTATTTTTTTACTGTGGATGGCACACTATGCTTTTACTTTGTAATTTATCAGGATTTTTACTTTAGGAGAAATTAAGAACTTCTTATGCCACTGTGGAGATATTTTTGTGAATTACTGTATATATATATATATATATATATATATATATATATATATATATATATATATATATATATATATATATAGGCCTTCGCCCATCGTGCTTCTCATTGTTACCAGACTTCATAATTACATTAGTCTCAGGCAAACCTCAAGACAACAGCTTTGTCATTATTTCTTTTACCACTTTGTGAATAATTTAATTAGATTGTATTGTTAAAGTGACCTTTTACATGTTTGTTTGATAGAAGTCATGCTGCCTCATGTTTTGTAATTACAGAATTTGATGATTTGTGTGAGAATGATGTAACCTTTTAAGACAGGTCTGTTGCCAAGTCTGAGAGCAGCTCAGATGATTGACCCCAGGCTTCCAGTTCTCTACAAAGAACACATGCAGCAGTTACACAGCAAATTCAAGAGTGTTAATTCAACTCTTATATTGTTAATTTTTACTGTTACTTTTACCATGTCATATGGGGTCCACAATAAATGAGTTGAAACTACACTTTCCAAAGTGTAGAAGGCTCAACACTGGTAAAATGATGTAACCACACTCCTCATAGTTGAATTTGACACTGATTAAGATTAGATTTTTTACACTAGTGCAGGGGTGTCCAAACATTTTTCACCAAGGGCCACATATCTAAACACAGACGAAGCAGAGGGCTGACCGAGGGCTGTAGACTGGTGCTCAATACACTGATTGTGAATAATATGTGCAGGTTTAACACATTAGAATGAGCCATTAGTCCTTTACTCATGCTAAGATCCTTAAAACCACACACTAAATATTAACTTTATCAAGGTAGATTTTCAAAAAACTTGCAGTAGAAAGTAAATTTTTAATTGATGCAAGGTAATTTGGGCCAATTCACCTGGAAGCCTAAGGGCCAAGAAAAATTTGTGCCAACGCCGCATTTGGCCCACAGGCCATAGCTTGGACATGCCTGCACTAGTGTATAGTGAAAAACTAATAACTCTATATTGCTATGTTTTAACAGTTTATGAAGTAGAAATACTGTAGAATGTTCTTCATGTTACACTATTCAATAGTAACTCTTTCTTCATTAAATACAGTGTAAATGCTGTGGTCATTCTAGTTCATAATCCCTTTCACAAATGTAAAATAATGAAAACCACCACAAAATTCCATTTCAACTTAACTTGTATTAAAACAATGCACATCATACAATCAACACAATTTAAATAAGTCATATGACACAATACTATTTTTGCTAAATCCAACTGACAGTAGGAATTCTCTGTCCCCTCAATAGTTGGTCACAATGATTGTCATTTATTTTTTTTTAAAGTTGATTTTTCAATGCAAGCAGTGGATGGATGAATGAAGATCTTGTTTTGAATGGAATTCAGACATGCTCATCTCCGAAAAAATGAGAGGAGCATGTCTGACTGTTTGAAACAAGTTCTTCTCTCCATTATATAAACTTAACAATGTTCACAATAGGGCCAGTCCTGCTACTTATGAAACATTAACACTGCAGAAACCTTTTACCTCAAGAGTCAGTCTTTCACTCTTGAGGTTTCTTTTGACACATCCAACGTCCATGTTGTTGACAGTTCTTTGAATACAGGTGTAAAGATGGTGGGAATCTGAGGACCAAGTACCTTGAAGTGTTCACCAAATTCAGCCAAGTCAACAATGACATAAAAAAACCTTTGTCCTTCCCTATTGAGTCACAGGTAGAAAGGCCATCCAGGCTCAACCAGCAAGAAATGTGTCCATACCGATCTGTAAAATAAAATATAGAATAGAATAAATATAACATATTCAAGTAACCACCTTGCAAAACAGGCTATGCAATATTTAATGAGCCATGAATAAAAATTAAAAAGTAAATATATTATGGTGCATATATCATTATTTGTTTGTTCCTATTAAGCAGGTTATTCTTTTGCATAAGCTGTATGTTTTTGTATACAGGAACCATTCAAATAAATAACTTGAAGGGTAATTTTAAAAAAAATGTAGCCCCTTAGAAAAGATTATTTTTAAATGCAAGACCCACAAGAAACAAAACACCTAAATGCCATTAATCACAAAAATAGAATGAGATTAAGGCAAAAATTACAACTACTTAGCAGATATATAAAATTCAATTAGTCAATAACGAAATTATTGGTGAGGTTACATTTCAGTTCTATATTTAACCATTTCGTGACATACCTGCAAATTTCTGACGAGACGGTTAATGGCTTGAGCCTTCATCTTCCCACTGTAGCGTTTAGGAGCTGGGGATGCATGTGAACCAGCAGCAAGACCCTCAAGAAAATACAAAAAAAGAATGTATAAAGAATGTACTTTCTAAGTGTTGGACATTAACACTGTGAATTAACAACTACTTGACGACACGGTGGCTGAGTGGCTGAATGCCTCACAGCAAGAAGGTTCTGGGTCGCCCGGGCCTTTCTCTGTGGAGTTTGCATGTTTCTCCCCGTGTCTGGATGGGTGTCCTCCAGGCGCTCCGGTTTTCCCCCATCAACCCAAAACATGCTACAGGTCTCCAGAACAGTTGATAGTCAAGGTCAGTTAAATACAATCAATCAGTGAACCTGCCCAGGGACTATAAGGTGGAAATTAGCACTGGTGTTAGTGGCTAGATACTTCACCCACATTGCCTTGTATGAAAGTGGTGTGTGCATGAGTGATGGTGGTGGTCGGAGGGACCGTTGGTGCTGATTGGAATGGCAGCCGCCCTTCTGTCAATCTGCCCCAGGGCAGCTGTGGCTACAACAGTAGTTTACCATCACCAGGTATAGAGTGAATGAATAATGCTGAATGTAATGCTCTGTAAAGAGTCTTTGTGACAAAAATGTCTGTGAAAAGTGCTATATAAATAAAGACTTACTTAGACTTACTTATTTTACCCTACAGCACTGTCATAGTTGAAATAACTCTTTATTATGTTGAAACATATCTGGATTTTCTTCACTCACAACAACACTAGTAACGTGAATTTAACACTTTTGAATTTGCTGTGTATATGTGAGAAGTTAGGTACATAAATCACAAAATCATGACATAACATGTCAAGAAAAATGTTTCTTAATGATTTATTTGACATTTCTCTTGTGTTGAATACAAAATTGTCTCTTGTGATCTTTAAGCCACGTTAGAATGTTGTTACCTCCTCAGAAATATACCTGGAGGAATTGTGTTTTGTTTCATTCACACACATGTTTGAGTAATCCTGGTTTATTATTAGTCTGCCAATATCTCATAAATAGTTCAAAATGCTCTTTTCCACCTTTTAATGGTAGTTTTCAAATTATCAGCTACCTTTTACCTTTTATTCAGTAGGCAATTCCAGGGCTGAAATCATCTAAATAATTCTAGTGAAGGTGTTTGGAGTTTAAAAACACAGTATAGCACTTCCTGTGTTACCACATGCCATCACAAAGTGGAGCAAACTGTTTTCTGTTTGAGAGAAGATCTCATCATAATTATGCAGGATTTGTGTGTTAAATATGTGTGAATGAAACAAAACACAACTCCAGGTATGAGGAAACAACATTATAACATTGATCAAAAATAGTGTAATACGAGCCCTTTAAAGTTTAAGACATCCTTCTTGTAAAGCTTAGAGACTTGCTATATGATTTTGGGACCAGCAAGTTGTCATGGTGACCTTTAGTTGCTGTATAAATCAATGAGTCTAATCATATGCATAATAACTAGCACGTTTCCCGATTGCCAGTGTATATCATTCACACTTACATCAAGTTGAACCATCTGCTCTCCTGATGGGTTGAACAAATGTATCCTCTTTTTGACCTATCTCTTTCTGATCTAGCCTCTGTGTCCCTGTGCTGTAAGAACAAGGGCCTTTTTGTGGAAAAGAGAAATCACAGGACTCACATGTTTGAGCGCAGAGAAAGTGAGCGATCCGTGCAAAAGAGAGCAAGGATCAGAAGGAAGAAGACAGCACATCAGCAAGTCAGGCCCCTCGGAAACAGGATAAAGCAACACAATCAAAGGACTACATGAACATGGAAGATGCACCAAGATGTACAGATGAGGAGGTGGAGGTGGTACAAGAAGGTAAGGACTATTTCAAACAATGATCTCAACAGCCTTAAACATCATCAACAACAGGACAATACAGTGAGTCAGAGTAGGTTTGATATACATTTGCTGTTTTCTGAAAGTGCTTCATTCTAACATTTTGTAATATCTTAAGTTATGACATACACCAAAAATGGTCACTACAAAATTTGTCGCAAAAGCATATTCAAATTATTTGCCTTGAACATGTTGATAAGTCCAAAGATATATGAACGTAAATGCATAATGAGCTATACTAGTGAGCTTTAAAAAGATTGTTTGTAAAGTTTGGCTGGCTGATAATTGGGATGAATGAGTATGTTAAACCATTAAAATCAAAAACTTAAAACCTGAAGTGTGACAGAGCTATTATTGTTACTGTATAATGTTTAAAGTTCCCTCTTCCCTTGGTTCTATCACTCCAGACACATACTATACTGTGCTGTACTGTGTGTGATTAGTTGTATAATGCATAATAAAATATGATAAGTCGACATTTGGGGTGACCCTGGGACATGCAGACAGCAGCCATGAATTCTGACATTTGTAAAACAAGTAGCTGCTTTGTGCTGGTTTACACATTGTAGACTGTATTTAAAATGCATTACTAAGCAGTTATGTGATAATAGCTAGATCATTGATGCTGTTTTTCACTCATAAAAGAGCACTTTTCCTTCTATGACGTACGTTGTGTTTGTTTGCTGAACAGAGCCAGAGGACTGTGAACAGAATGAGCAGAATGGAAGTCTGGAGATTTCACAGGTAACACTTTTACATTCTAATGTGGTACTGAATCAAAAACCTTAAACTTATCTTAATAAAAATGTGGAGAATAGATCTTGTTGAAGGTGCAATTATTTAACCACAGGTGTCTAAAGTAAGTACCATCTTTGAGTTGGCCCCAAGTCTAGATAAATGAAGTCCCGGTTGTATATGTCAGTGTGGCAGATGATTTACTATGGCTGATGGCAAAGATAATAATTACAACAAAGTGTACCTGAATAATATGCAAAGATAGTGTCCTTTTAGGGTTGATTTGACAGGCAAACATTCATGACATTCCTTACAGTCAAGTAAATGCACATAGACTGTAGGCCATGTGTACTTCATTTTAATTTAAATAATCTATTAGTCTCTGCACATTGGTAAGCCCTTTGGCGTTGTGAGCCATCAGGTGTGCGGGTTAAACAGATATAATCAGAGCAGGAAGAACAGGAGGCACAGCACAGGCTTTCTATTCAGTCTAATGCCTGATGCTTTTCACATGATCGAGAGAGCGAGAGCCGTAAGAGGCACAAACATGTAATGTTCCCTGGAGCTGATTCACTTTATCCACACTGAATAAATTCAATCAACAATCAAAACAAACTTATATAGTATAATCTCTGCTTACAAAATTTATGTGAGTTGCAGTATTTGAGTCATTTGTGAGAACATTGCAAATCAATTAATTCCTCTTCTGTCTTAGCTGCAGGGTCTGGTGGTGGAGCTGCGCGAGGGCCTGCATGCTGCCCTGACTGAGCTGTGTGAACTGCGTCAGAGGGACCACAGCCTGGAGGAGCAACTTCAGGCTCATCAGACTGACATGGATGATAAGATAATGAGCCTGAAGAACTCCCTCAACACGTTCAAGGTGACATACCAACACAAACACACAGTGGCATTTGAAAAGAGGCCTCAAACATAATTTAAAACATCTGACTCAAGCGTAAACTAATTATGTTTATCGGACTCAAGCACAAAAAATCCTCTGCGCCTCTCAAGAGAAAGACTCTCTCTAAGATAATAATAACAACACATTTTATTTATATATACACTTTACATCTCAAAGTACTACAACAGGTAAACAAGTCAAAGTTAAATTAGTTGCATAATAATTAGCAGTACCAGATCATATGAAATACAGAATTAAATATATGCTCCAACACATTTTTAAATCTGTGTTGCAATGAGTCAAATGGCAGTAAAGTAAGATTATGCTTAGAGGGAAGCTTAGATACAACCACTACAAGAGTCTTGTATATCCATACCTTCATGAGCTAAACTGGTAGTCAGTGTGATATTACTAATAGGCAGTTACAGCGCACAGTAAAAACCAGTGCAAAGTATACTGTAGTAATTGGCGCCCTCACAAGCCCCCCATGCACTTTGGTATTTCTACAAATGTGCCAGTAGGATCATGGCTTCATTTGTAAATAAGCAGTCATAAGTCATGAGTTGGGGGGGAACAGAACAATCTCTCACTTCTGTATAGTTTCTGGATTACCCAAAATCTTTCCTGGATCATTCACCTACAAAAATCAAAGACAGACAAATGTGTTGCCCCAAACATGAGATCAAATGAAAACTTAAACATGGTCAAACTGCATTCAAATGTACTGATTTAATTTTTCAGGAGGAGCTCACTACAACTTTGTTCCACATTAAGAAATGTCCAGCAGACAAAGGGAGATTCACAGGAGAATTGAACTACTAAATTTAGAAAACCCAAAAGATGTCATTTCTACATCGCAGAGGTAAGGCAAGAGCCCAATACAGAGCATACGAGTCAGACCAGTTATAAGGAATGTATTTAGTATGATTCATGTGACTGTACAAAAATGTTCCAGTTCATGTGTCCAAGCCACTGTTGTAGACCTGTTCCAAAATATAAAAAAAGCATGTAATAATTTTTAATATCATGAACTTTTGTGTATAGATTAATGTTACCTCATCAAGAACACACTTGGAGTTGTGTTTTGTTTCATTCACACATGTTAAATTCATTCTTTATTATTAGTCTGTCTACATCTCTAAAACTCAAAATGTCCTGTTCCAGGTTGTGATGTCATGAAGCTGTAATTCTCACATTAACAGCTACCTTTTACAGATACAGATTCAGTACAGGTTGGCAATTCCAAGACTGAAATCATGCAAATGACTCTAGGGAATGTGTATGGACTTTAAAAACACTGTGGAGCATTTCCTGTATTACCTCATGGCATCACAAAGTGGAAAGTGTTTTCCATTTGAGATAAAAACTGCCTAAATATTCAGGATTTGTGTGTGAAACATGTTTGAATGAAACAGAACCCAATTCCATGAATATTTTTGATGAGAAAATTTATAATCATAAAATAGTGTAATATGGACTCCGTAAACTTAACATCATGGTCTATGACTTTTCCAAAGCCGTAAGAGCTCAAAGGCAGATGTTCTGGCAGCATCAGGGGAAGACCACATCTGTGGGCCCAGCCAATCAGAGCTCAGCGTCATTCAACACTATCTCTCCTGTCTTCCACATAACGCATCCCCACAAAGAAGCAACACCTCCACACACAGTCAGTACATTTTATGATTATTTAAAATTACAAAATAGCAAAGTATGTTTTGAAATATATATATATATATATATATATATATATATATATATATATATATATATATATATATATATATATATATTGTGCTTAAGCGTCTACATCTGAGCCAGAAACCCAACAGCAAAGAGCTCACGTATGGGGAGAGAGAAAGAACAGCAGGGATGAGGTGGACACCACAAACAGGAACAGTAAGAGTACAAATATTTGAGCCAAATATCATCACAATTTAAATGTTTATGTTTACCTTTTCTGTTGACAGACAAGAGGCAGAGAGCAGCCCTGGAGCTACTGGAGTCAGAGAGAGTGTATGTCTCTCACCTGTCTCTGTTACTCAAGGCCAACATCTCCTTCAATGGATCAGACGCACTCACCACAAAGGACAAACGGTTAGAAAACATACATATATATGTCAGTTCATCAATATTTATCAATGTGTCATGTATGAATCAATATAAATGTATTTCTCCTTTGGCTTAAGAAAGTTTTGATTTTACACTTCTGTGACCATAACAGCAAATCTCTGCATTTGTTTGATGCATGTTTTGAATGATTTGGTATGATTGAAATTTGTACAGGCTTAAGACCAGCCTAAAATATTAACTGTTAAACATAAGCAACAATACCTTTCTGATGAACTCTGTGCCTAAAACAATAAATACAAGGCATAACATTTGAAACAGTAAAAGTGACTCATGATACAAAATATATTTATAAATATGACTCTATATGGCAAATATTTTAATCTGAAATCTTACAGTGGTTAGAAAAAAGGAAATTACTAAATCAAATCAGTACAAGATACAAACACCAGCAAGACAGAGCATTCCCATTAATGAGTTCAATATAACTGTTTAATGTAATAACCTCTGCACACGTGTTCCCAATGAGAGGCCACTACCTAAAGCAGCCAACAAGCAGCTAGGTCATTTATTTACCGGTAGTGATTTTTTTTAAAAAAAAACACCAATATCTATCTTTCTGTCAAGGGATTGGCTCATACTGATATTCCTATTTTAAATCCATAGCCAGGCCCACAAAATTATCTTAAAAGTGCACTATGTAACTTTTCTGATGAATGATCCATCAAACGCTCTTCTCTGTGAAGAATTTATTGCTCTGCCTGTAATGTTCCACAGTATGAAATTAAACAGCTCTACCTCAGATTTATTCAATTACAGGGGGTTTTATTGCTCCAAAATACTTAGAAAAATAAGAATTCTTTCTCTGAACGGGGTCGCCTCTCTACAGATCTGAACTGTAACTTAGCACTGGTTTGGTGTCCATGAAGATAGAAAGGTTTAATACCATACTGTGAAACATTCCAGACAAAGCAATAACATCTTTGTGCAGAAAAGCATTTGACGAACCCTCCACCAGAAAAATTGCACAATGCACCTTTAAAGTTCACATTTTGAAGAGTGATAAAAACTCATTCCTATATTTTCCACCCACAGTTCTTTCCCCAGCTCTCTGCGGTTTCTCATCCAGCAGCACCTGGAGCTCTTACACACTTTACAGGAGCGAGTGCTCAAATGCCAGTGGCAAGGCATCATGGGAGATGTTTTTATGAGGCTCACAAGCAAAGAGGTATGAGATCGTATTTATCAGTATTTATGTTCTGCATAAACAAAATCCACAATAGGACAACACAGACCAATTTACAAGATCTCTGCCTGGTTGCCTGTTTGGTCTTGTGACTGGCTATATATAGTAAATCTGTATCTCTTTGACCGGAATGACACAAATAATACTATAAAGTAATCTGTTATGACATAAAAAGTCACATATACTTAGTTTTATTTAAATTATTAAAATTAAATTACTGTTTCCATATGGGCTATTTATTTGTTTTCCTTTTTTACACAGCAGTCTGTGTTTCTGTCTCATTTAAAACTGTGTAAGGCTAACCAGGGTTGATTCGATTAAACCCAATGTGTGGATAAGTAGTTTTGAGTGACCCAAAGGAAATGCAATAATTGGTTAGCCACACCTGCTAACAGTATCGTGTTAAAATGTTACTCAACATAGAGACAACTCTGTTTAATAGTCCATCTCTCCTGTTTGTTTATAGAGTGATTTCTTGGATTTCTATGTTTCGTACCTGAAAGAGCTCCCTGAATGTCTCTCAGTCATCAGTATGGTGACCTCTGGGTCGATCAAATCTTCTTTGCTAGAGGTAAGACTTCAAAACACCCAATAATTTTCTTTTGATTTTTAATTGGTGATTTTTTCATGTTGGTGATTTTGTTTTTTTCATATTGTTTACTTGTTCTTAATTGTGTTTTAGAGTGACATACTGGGGGATGAGTCTAAGCCATCCCTCTACTCATTGCTCCTACAGCCAGTGCAAAGGATCCCTGAGTACCTCCTCCTGTTGCAGGTCATAGTTAAAGTATATTATTGTATTTAAAACCTACATTAAAATATTATTAATTGTCACTATGTAACTTCTCTGGTGGAAGGTTTGCCACCTGCTTGTCTCTAGTAAGATGTTATTGCTTTGCTTGGAAAGTTTCATAGTATGGTACTTAACCTATCAATCTATATGGAGACAAGTAGGGCTGGGTATCATTAAGAAGTAGCTGATAAGATACATAACTCGATACAGTGAGCTTTCGATTCGATACGATTTGATACAGTATATTTCAAATCAATTTGATACAGTTCAATAAAAAATAAAGGCTGAATCATGGCTGTGATACTAAAAGTCTTTGTTAAACCACTTATTGTGCAAAATGTATATGAAACACACTCATTTTAACCATCAGAAGAGTGAAAATGTCAACTGTGTTGCATAAACCAGTCTCCTTCCTTCAAACAAGCAACAAAACTGTAGCGTTGTAACAAAATAATTTAGTAAAATATAACACAAAACCCTTTTGGTTATGTATTGATTCAGCAATCCATGATATCGATACTGTATCATCACATTAAACGATACTCTCACATGGTCTGTGTATCGAGGTATGTATCGTATCAGCAACTTCTTAATAATACCCAGCCCTACCAGACAAGTTGCATAGTTCACCTTTATTTTTAGCAACAAATTATTAATAGATCATTAGCAGCACAATTAAACATTAACATTGATTGATATGTGTTTGTAGGGGTTGTTGAGGCAGACAGAGGCAGAGCACCCAGACTATTTCCTGCTGCTTGTGTCCATTCAACAGTTCAGATCTTTTACTGCTCAGTATCACCACCTGCTCCAGCACAACCAGGAACTACTACTGCACAACCGCAAGGAAATCAAGAGGTCTGAACACAAAACTTCTGTCATAATAGTTCTGCCATTTACCTAAACATCTTTAATTATATTTTGTCACGCTTATGTAGAACTTCTATGAAACAATTGCTAAAGACAGTGAAAAGTGTATACAGACTAACATTATAGGTTCACCCTATCCAGCCAGTAGTGCCATGCTGTCAGTAGGCTATTTTGTCTATTAAAAAAACGGAGTAGTTTGCTCAATAATATTCAGTCTATTTAAATGTTTATTTTACAGGGAGCATACTAAGCGCAATAAGCAGCGCCTCCTGGAGCAGATGCAGTCCCATCGTTTCCAAGATTGGGAGCACGATGAACGTTATGTGCCAGAGTGGACCTCACAGGGGCCTTATTTCAACACGGACATGGACCCAAGAAACCACAAATCACCAGGTCTGTATATGAAACACTATATTTAAATAAAGATTCAAGAATATTAAGTAAAATGACTCAGCAAGTTGGATAGTCTGCAGCTACTGTATGTCTCACCAGGCACATGTGTTTGGAGGAATTCCAGGATGTCCTATACAACTATAGCACATATTACTTGTCTCCATGTTATTCCTTTGACTAAAGTATTCCTCAGTATTGCTTAAAATGTGTCTATCTTGCATATTCAAAAATACCTTGAAAAACAAGCATTCTAACGGTGACACAGGTTGACTCTCCAAAGATCTGACCTATAACGTGGCCTGCTGGCATCACATGCTTGTGTCTGTGGAGATCATTTTAAGGCTACACTTCAGGACAAAGCTGTAACATCCAAAAGGAGACCTTCTACCTGAAAAGTGACATAGTGCACCTTTAATGTAGGACTGTGAGAATGAACTTACTACTGTCTGTGGAGTACCACCGTCTTGGCTCGTAGTTAGAGCTTAACATTAGTTACAAACTACTAATGAGTATCAGGCATGTGTATCTTATACTGTGTTGTTCGTTTTTCATTCAGCTGTATAATAAATGAATGATCTCTTATGTACCCCATTCAGGCAGTGACCAGACACACAGCAATGGTAAAGGAACAGTTTATTCCCCAGTGAACCAGTTAATCGACCTCTGGCTTTCAGGTCTGGGCAGTATCCCGGAGAGTGAAGTGTCGTGCCAGCACCGTGGGACCCCTCACCCGGGCCCCCCCAGCACAGCTATGCCCGATGCCCTGGGGGAGTACCTGTTACCCCCTGACCCGCCCGGAATGGAGAGTCTCTATGAGGAGGAGAGAAGCTCACTGCACGATGTGTCCATGTTTGACCGCTGCTCCTCTGCATCCTCAGACTCTTCTATTGATATCGCCTTTGTCAAGTGCCCCAAAGCCCCTTCGAGTGCCCACTGCGCTGTGCCAGTGAATGTGCTGTCTCCACGTGACCTCTACGGCAATGGAGTCAGCCCAGGAAACTATAGCAAACTACTCAACAGAGGCTGTGTCTCTCCAGATGAAGCCATTATGATGCGCCGCAATCAACCACGCCCCCTGCAGGCCAGCCAGAGGAAGAGCAAGGTGAGTTTAGATGTAGGCGGTCCACCAAAAGAGTGTATATGTGTGTGTGTGTGTGTGTGTGTGTGCCCGAGAACAAACTGGAAGCATAAATGATGAATAAACATCAGATGGATGTATTGCCTGTTCGTAATTTAAAAAAAATATCATTATTATTGTTGGTTTTGGTTTTTAGTCTCTAAATGGCCTACAGTTGGAGAACACTGTAAGCGGACTGGACAATGGTCATCTGTCGGACAACCTCCAGAGGGGGGGACTGGGGAGCCATGCCAAACTAGAACGTCAGGGCAGCAAAGGCAGCAAAGGGTGTCCCACTCCATCGCGCAAGATCCAAAACCCAGCAGTGAATAAAATAGACCCTGACAAACAGACTGACGATGTGCACGGGCTGGTCAGCATTGTAAGTATTTACAAACAGCAGAAAACCTGTCTTAGGGGAAAAAGTACATTTAATCATGTTGATCTTAACAGGACTCTGCTCTTCAGACTTGGGGTGAAGAGTTAAAGTGGAGAGGAGATGAGGGAAATTCTTTTAGTGAGAGAAATCGTAAACAGGAGAAAGGAGGATTCAGGAGCTCATTCAAGAAACTCTTCAAGAAGAAGTAAGAATACTGTCAAATATCAGTTCATTGGTGTACTATACATTTGTAAGAAACTACTGCTTTGATTTTGGTTGTATAGAAACAGTGATGAGAAGAAAGAGAAAGGAGGTGATAAGACCCCTGACAGTCAAAATGGGGAGCATGAGAAGCCCACAAAACTGGTGCACCTGGAGATCACCCGTGGGACAGCAGTGTAATGATGACTGACTAAATACATATTGTGCTGTGTAAATCCTTTTTGTATTACTTAATATTACCAAACTGTATATGGATCCTAAAAGTATTAGTACAAGGATGCAATTTTTTATTTAGACCTCATTATTTTAAGCAGTATATCAGAAAGCTAAACATTTAGTTGTTTATTTCCTAGTACATTTTATGCACCAACAACAGATAATATGTATGTAGTATTTGTTGTTGTTAAATTTAAAAATGAAATTGACCATTTCCACTTGAGTCTACTTTGCATTTGTTCAGTCATTACTTTGCAATGTTCTTGTTCTTGTTTTTCATACTTCTCAGGAGGATGTTTACCTACTGAAAGGAATCATTGACATATATTTTTAAGATATTTCTATATTTTTGTTTTAATAATGCATAAGAAAGCAATACAAGACACAACACAGTTCACTTCTGTCTTTTTAATGTGTTAACCTGCCGTCTCATAAATCTGTTACACATCTGAAACAAAATATAGGCAATTATACAGTATGTAAAACAAACCCATTTTATCTTACAATATTTACATTCATTACGTGTGCATTGCGTTATGAAAACTGAAGACCATAGTGAGGGAAAAGCAGGGGGCACACTAATCATTATTACAATTACTTTTGCACATACTCCCTACATGTCCAATTATATTAGCATGCAGCCCAAACATGGCTGGTTTTATGTTGGTAGACATCTTTAATTAAATAGAAACTCTTTAATGTTTTTGCACAATAAACTGTAAAATATTTAAATTGATTCCTTAGGTCAATAAAAAAGTCAATAAAAACATATGAGTTAGTGATAAACCACAATTAACTTTCCAGGAACATCTGAAAACTTAGAAAGTAAATATTTGACATTACAGGATTTTAGACGTTCACTGGTGAATATGTAAATTAAAAGGAATGTTTAATATAAGACAATAAATACTATTGACACATAACAGTCTGCTTAATTTAATCTCTAGTTCTGACCACTGTAAACAGAAGTACTGTGTATTTGTTGAAAATCTATGGGCGGCATAATTTAGATTACACTAATAGGAAGTTAGATGTTTTGTGAGTGGAAGAATGCTTGTTATGACTTTACTGAGGACACAGAATAAATTAAGTGTTTGATAGAGTGACCTCTAGTGTTAGAAATGGGATAAATGGTTGGTAATGCCTCATGTAGACTAAACACATAAATATCTGCATGTTTTGATTTATGAACTTCTGATAACTTTAAACCAAGAACTATGAATTGCAATTTATAATCACTTTAACCATCAACACAACATGTTGAATATTCTGAAATGGTGGCTCACACTTGACCAGGAGACTCACTGATTAATGTGTTCCAATAAAAGACTAAATTGCCATCTGCATTGCAAATTTACATGATGGTACAAGTAACCTTTCCTACCATTTTAATGTGCATATTCCCAATAAATATTAGATAGCTTCTACAGGCTAAGCATAGACAGGGAACCTAATATTTAGTCTTGACTTCTGCCATTTGCATTTGTTTAAATTGCTACCGAGGAGCAGAATCATGTTAGAAATCAAATCTGTACATCATGCACGGTTATGTGCACACCGTCTACTCGCTCACACACATCCACACATGCGCACACACAAGGTCATATTTAGAATGACATCACATTTGTTTATCAATACCTTTGTCCTTGTGCAAAATGTTTAACACCAGTGGTTCAATGAACATAAAACAAAACTAAAAGGGTGTTTTCTGATTAATACAGTTTAACATAAAAACAATTCTGATGAGACGAGAAACTTAAATACAAGCAGCCATGACACTCAGTGTCACGTTGACGCTGCTTTGGTGCACACAAAAGGAGGTTACCATGGTGACACATGCATAATGAACAACCAATCACGGTGAGTCTTCTTTACACAGTCCATATCAAGCGCATTAGCAGTGACAGTTACTCAAAAAGACTTTAATGGTTATCTGTAGTCCCGATGATGGCATAACCAGGAAGTGTGTATTCCACTTCTGAAATGTCTTGTGCACCTGCGGCGTTTTACTGTTTGTGTCGACAGTTGGATAGTTATACACACACTGTCTACATGACCAGTCTCTTAGTGTTTGTCAAAAATACTACATTTATATTTACAACAATTAAATAGAGGTCAATCAAGCACTTGTGTGGGAACAGCACATTGATGCTAGCAGAAGTGATGAAGCGTAAATCTTTTTTTTATAAAAACAATAAAAACAGAAAGCCATTGTGGTTGTTACTTATGGTACAATAAATAAAAGGTGTTTAAAAAAAGGAAAAAGAAAAAAACAAAACAAAACAAAGAGAGACAATAAAGGGTGGTTAGGTGTGCAACATGGCTTGTCTGTGAAGCTAGCACTAGTAGCAGTAGTAACATGTGCAGGGGGAGCTGTAGAAGTAGTGTTGATTCTTTACTTCCTCCGGGGAGGATGGACTCAGAAATGAAGGACACCAGATTCTCAGCTCACTTTGTTCATTCAGCTTCTTTATGAGCTTGTACTGACCCTCACTGTTTGTTGCACCTCAGCCCAATATCTGGAAATCCACACAGTCACTTACATTAGCAGATAGCCTTGCAGTTAAATACTGAGTAGTGTTTGCTTAAAGGAGGTTTTCCCCAGCAGCCCGCTCCCAGGTTTTGTTTTAGTGGTCGGGTGCAATGTGGCTTTTAGTGTCCATGTACAAGTGTTGGTACTTCTCAGTAGCTGTTTTCATGGCCGGCCAGGATGTAGAGATTACTGTTGGCCGTGGGGTTGTCCGTAGGTCTGCTCTCCAACACCACCACCCTGTAATACACAGATCATTAAAATGGTAGAATAAACACAGTGTTTCTTTCGATTTAAAATGTTAGTTGTAAAATCTCAACACTGAGCACATCTGAGAAGCATCACAAAGCAAAAGAAGATCCACAGTTCAACCAATCCCTGAAACCATTTGGACACTGTTTTTTAATAATGGGAAAATAGACACCACATAGCACAAATATTGCACCTTTATTCATACCATTTATGTTTAAAAAAATTTTGCTTTTGGGTTTCCTTCTTTAAAAAATAAAAAAAATAAAAAAAAGTTATATGAAATAATGGGACGAGACAATTTCTACGAGATGAAACATGTCATGAGATTCAATTTAGGAGAACGAGACCAGATGAGATTTTACAATTTTTAATAATGAAACTGTGCCATTTAGTTCACAGTTTTGGCTTCAAAATTGTCTTATGCATTTAATTTTACAGTTTTGGTGCAATTGTAGCACTGCTTTTTGGTAAATACAGCTTTTCAAGAGGTGTTACTCAGTAATCGTTTTAATCCAAGGCAAACGCAAAAATATGTGGAAAAAAATCTCACAAAATAATTTTCCTGTGTGCACAGTCTAGAGCAGGGGTGTCAAACTCATTCTGGTCCGGGGGCCATATCCAGCCTACTTTGATCTCAAAGGGGCCGGATCAGAAAACTCATGGCATATAAACCCCAAAAATAACAATAAGTTCAAAATATTTGTGCAGAGAAACGAAAATCTCTTACAGAAATCTTTTTTAATTAATGAGCTCTTTCTTTTGCAAAATATTATAATATTATGAAAAAAATGCTATTTCAACACAATGTTTTAACATTAACTTGAATGCAAATAGGAATAAGTCATTTTTTCTTGGAAAATCCAGCACTCGGCTCCACTTTTCTCATTTTTGACATTTTTCTGATGAGGGTGTCATGGTCAACACTCAAAACGATCGTCCTTTAAGAGCGTTTGGAAAGAGACAAGTCTTCATTTGTGCTGCTCTGGTGGGAGGGGCCACGCACAGAGGCACGGGAGACACTGCGATGCTAAGCGGAACAGAAAATTACCAATATTTTAATAGAAAATATGATTAAAATATTTTAGTAGAAATTCAGCCGAGGGCCAGATTAAAGGTCTTGGAGGGCCGGATCCGGCCCCCGGGGCCTTATGTTTGACACCTGTGGTCTAGAGGCAATTTTGTCTCACGAGATCTTGTCCCATCCCTCTTCTTATATATTTTAAACTGAACACCACTAGTGCTATAGGCTATAGTGGCCAGAACACATAATGAACATGTTTTTATGAGTTTAATGAAAAAGGTGCCAATTTGGGCAACGGCACACACCATTACATTCTATGTAAATTCTATTAAATTAAAAGAAAAGACAACATTTTGTTTAATCAGATCAATGTTGGTGTATATACTCCCATTATTTCACTACAAGTATTATACCACTGCCCTTTTTTTTTTGCCCCCCACATGGCCGGTGACACCACTGTTCATTACACCTTGAGAGTCCCAAAAGAAAGAGGCAGAGTTTGGGACAGCTACAGCCAGGAAACAGTGAGTGTACCTGGGCACAGAGACACCTCTGTCCTCAGCATCTGGATCTCTACTGTCAGCACGTCTTCAGTGATAACAAAGAGGAGTTAATGTTGTCTGCGAGGTGAGTACTGGTAAGACTGTTTCAAGAGCACATACCTGTCTGATCCCAGAAGTCTGAAGATCCGTGTGCTGTCAGAGATCTCCTGTGTGATCTAAAACAAAACAGAGACAAAAGGCATGAATAGAAATCTTGCACTGTGTAACTTTCTTGGTGGAGGGCCCGTTAAATACGTTTCTCCATGGAGATTCCTTTGTCTGGAATGTTTCACAGTATGGTATTAAACCTTTCTATCTTCATGGAGACCAAACCAGACCAAGATACAGGTCATTTTTATCTATAAAACCATCTGTAATTTAATAAATATACGGTAGGGCTGTTAAATGTTACACCACAGAACATTTCACGCAGAACAATGACATATCCATAGAAACAAGCGAGGGAAGGACGCCCAATCAAAAAGTTACATAGTGCACCTTTAGCATTACGATTAAAATATGTTATAATATGCTTAAGCTCTGTTTTAATCAACTGCTTATACTATTTATCAAATGCAACTATTCAAACCACACGTTAGTCTCTTGTATTGCTGTGTGCTTGAGTTTCTGGTCTTACCTCATTGGTCTTGAAACTTCTTCCTTGCATGCCATGTCTCCAGAAAGCCAGCACACTGTCCTGTAGACATACTGCACAAGAAGATAAAATATCCAAAATGATCTTAAAAATTATCCATACACTGATGAAAGTAAAACAAATGCACTCATCCCTATACAGCATATAAAAGAAATATATTTCAGTTAAAGTTGTTGTGTTTACCTATTGCCTCAATCTGGAAGTTAAAGGTCAGCTCCGCCGAGAGTTTACGGCTGGATTTTAACCGCCCTTGAAGGTTGACAATCTTTATGCATCCTGGGGAATAAATGAAGGAACATGTGCATGGGAGAAGAAAAAAAACAAAACATGCACATTTCAAATAAAGAAAGCTTTTAAAAAAAAATCATTTAGACGGAGAATGTTGGTATGGTGTTTTATTTCTTTTTGTGTGTTTGTCATTTTGATGTAAAAGGAGATTGTGCAGAATGCCTTTTAAATTTGTTTTATGATTTGTGATGTAAAGTAAATTTTGTACAATTTCTGTATAAATCAATAAACAAATTTTGAAAAAAAAAAGAATGAATGAATGAAAGCATTAGTGGGCAATATGGTAATAAATGCTTATACTCACTGTCAAGGCAGACGAGAATGGTGTCCCTTTCTAACTGAGTAACATGGATTACACAAGACTGTGGGGTATCTGAAACAATTACATGAATACTAATTAACTACTACTACTAACACTGCATTTAACATGTGTATAAATGCTGTTTTCCTCCTTTGTCCATACCTGTTTCTGTGAACCAGGAGGATGTGGCATTGGGGTTGACTGTGCCAAACTTGACGACCTGGTTGAGCTCTGTGCCTTTAGTGACGGCCACACAGATCAAAGGGTATGTGTGCTCCGGTACCACCAGCATCTCAAACACCTCCAGTGGGCATGGCAACGGGAAGTCTATGTTCTGTAGTACATACATTACACTTAATACTCCTTTTAAAATTAAAATTAAAACAACTTGTTATGAAATAACAGTTTAAAGTTGAGTTCAGCTAAACCCCCTCTTTAAAGTGCGCATGACAGATTTTTATGATTCTCTCATTTAGACTTGATTTGGTGGGATTATAACTATTGTGAATATAAATGATAGTTTTACACAAATCCAGAAGCAATTTTGTGAAGAAGATTTGAAAAAAATATGTTGAAAGTTACAGGAAGTGGAGAGTTCAAACACACTGTTGGTATCACACCAGGGAAAATTCGGTCCAAAAGTTCAGCACATTTTACACAATAAGAAAAACATATTTTTTCTGATACTTTAAATTAATATAAACAAAATAAATGTGTTTTCTTATCTGTCAGATAATAATTTCTGTATACATTAGAGGAATTTTTCTAGGTAACGGTTATGAAGTCCCAAGTGTGATGTCATGATTTCCAACCAAGAAGACAAACCAAGTAAATTTAAAACCAAAAAAAAAAAAAAAAAAAAATCTTAAATATAATGATCTTAAGTGTGTTTAAGTGTGAGTAGTGTAACCTGCCATAGGCACTTTAAGGTATTCAAGAATGCCCAAAACACAGTAACTGACCTTAATGAGCATGAACCTCTGCATGGACTCCACCCACTCCAACAGCATGACACTGGACTGGAAGGCTCCACAGAGGTATTTATGACCTGTGTATGGATTTCGCACTGCAGAAAGGAGCAAAAATAAAATATTAAGTGATTTGAATGATAATTTACGTGCATAACACAATTTATACAATAATAATGTATTCTGGTACCACTCACCTACGCAACACTTTTGGCACCCTTTTGTATCTGGAATTTTATTGGACACAGCGAACTTCCTGTAGTAGAAAAATACTCAGGTTATCCAAATGCTTACATTAAGTGCAGTATACACTACCGTTCAAGGTTTGGGGTCACTTGGAAATTTCCTTATTTTTGAAAGCACTGTTTTTTTCAATAAAGATAACTTTAAACTAATCAGAAATACACTCTATACATTGCTAATGTGGTAAATGACTGTTCTAGCAGCAAATGTCTGGGTTTTGGTGCAATATCTACATAGGTGTATAGAGGCCCATTTCCAGCAACTATCACTCCAGTGTTCTAATGGTACAACATGTTTGCGCATTGTGTCAGAAGGCTAATGGATGATTAGAAAACCCTTGTGCAATCATGTTAGTACAGCTGAAAACAGTTTAGCTGGTTAGAAAAGCTATAAAACTGACCTTCCTTTGAGCAGGTTGAGTATCTTGAGCATCACATTTGTGGGGTCAATTAAATGCTCAAAAATGGCCAGAAAAAGAGAACTTTCATGTGAAACTTGACAGTCTATTCTTGTTCTTAAAAATGAAGGCTATTCCATGCGAGAAACTGCCAAGAAACTGAAGATTTCCTACAACGGTGTGTACTATTCAATTCATAGAACAGCACAAACAGGCTCTAACCAGAGTAGAAAGAGAAGTGGGAGGCCCTGCTGCACAACTAAGCAAGAAGATAAGTACATTAGAGTCTGTAGTTTGAGAAATAGACGCTTCACAGGTCTTCAACTGGCAGTTTCATTAAATAGTACCTGCAAAATGCCAGTGTCAACATCTACAGTGAAGAGGCAACTCAGGGATGCTGGCCTTCAGGGCAGAGTGGCAAAGAAAAAGCCATATCTGAGACTGGCCAATAAAAGATTAATATGGGCAAAAGAACAGACATTGGACAGAGGGAGATTGGAAAAAAGTGTTATGGATGGACAAATTGAAGTTTGAGGTGTTTGGATCACACAGAAGAATTTGTGAGACACAGAACAGCTGAAAAGATGCTGGAAGAGTGCCTGACTCCATCTGTCAAGAATGGTGGGGAAAGAGTGATGGTCTGGGGTTGCTTTGGTACTGGTAAGGTGGAAGATTTGATCAGGGTAATAGGGATTTTGAATAAGGAAGGCTATCACTCCATTTTGCAATGCCATGCCATACCCTGTGGACAGTGCTTGATTGGAGCCAATTTCATCCTACAACCGGACAATGACCAAAACACACCTCCATAATTGTGCAAGAACTATTTAGTCGCAGTCACCAGATCTAAACCCCACTGAGCTGTTGCGGGAACAGCTTGACCGTATGGTATGCAAGAAGTGCCCATCCAGGTAATCCAACATGTGGGATGGTGTTCTAGAAGCGTGAGGTGAAATTTCTCCAGATTACCTCAACAAATTAATAGCTAGAATACCAAAGGTCTGCTATGCTGTAATTGCTGCAAATGGAGAATTCTTTGACAAAAGCAAAGTTTGAAGGAAAAAAATATTGTTTCAAATATACTATTTATTTCTAACCTTGTCAATGTTTTGACTATATGTTCTATTAATTTTACAAGTCATGGTGGTAAATAAGTGTGACTTTTCATGGAAAACACAAAATTGTGTGGGTGACCCCAAACTTTTGAACGGTACTGTAATATTTCTTTTCATAAAAATAATGGAACTGGTAGAAATAATACAGAATCATTTATACCTGGGAATCATCTTATCAGGCAACTTGTGTGTAGGAATGGCTACAGGTAACTTCTGTAACTGTCTGGCCTGTTCAAATAGACCACTTAGGTTATGCGAGTATAACTGAGAGGCTTTTCCTGAAAAAGAACAAAACAGAACAAAAAAGATAAGACATTTAAATTGTATACATTTCTCAAAAGTTCAGTTTACTCATAAGTACCGCACATATAAATTAAACACACAGTAGATAAATAATAGTAATATATGTTTTACTGATAACAACTGTCCTGAAGATTTAGAGAGGCTGTAGCATTTACCAGATATAGACAGAAGACAGTTGTTCATGACATACAACCAGGTACACCGGCGAGGGAAGAGCTGTAAATGTATTCAAAACAATGCATTAATAATATAAGATTGTATCATGTTAAGGCATTATGTCATACCTGTTCCATGGTAGTCTCGTGCAGCTCATTAAGGTTTAATGTGTAGATGCCCTCCTCCGCACCAAATATTAAATACTGGTCTGAAACACACCCCCATAACTATTATTACAGATGACAGACTCAATTCTATCTTTAAAACAGAAAAACAATTCTTACCTCTTGTGTCTGGGTTAATCCAAGAAGTGGCACAATGGACTTTTAAGGGACATCCATTAAACACCTTGGAGAAACAGGCACCCATCTGAAAAATATATCATTGTTAATAGGGCATACGATTATATTTTGACATTTTAATACACTTTTCTTTATTTATTTTTAAATAAATAGACTTTAAAGCTCCATAGAAAGGCTAGTACATATTAATAAATAAAGTGTCAAATTTAGTAATGAAACAACTGTGCAAGTAATTGGCTTAAAACTTACATGGACTTTAGGTGTAGGTGGAAGGCCATTGCTGACAGGCATCTATGAAAAAATAACAAATTGTTACAGTGAATTAGAAGGATGATAGGTAAATCCTCTGTCCCTAAGATAAAGATGAAGGATGGGAACAGTGATGCTAAAATATTGACACAACCAGGTAGAGGTAGAATTAATATATTAATTCATTTGGAATAAAAGCAAGGTTAACTATACTCAAATGGATGTACTCAAAGTGGTATTGGTGCATTCCATTCAAGTTAGGATTCTTACCGGGACATCCTTCTTGTCTTTCCGTACTGGGACACTAGGGGGCATTGTGGACTGCCTCTCTGCAGGACTGTCCCTCTCCCCATTGTGTGCAGCACTCAAACCATTACCTGTAACAACAAAAGGCACACCTCACTGAGTTCGTGAATCAAGTGTCGATGGGGAAAAAAGCGCATGCTACATTTGCACCTGTGTGTTTAGGGGCCGGTGAGAGAAAAAGAACAATAAATAACAGACTTCTACACACAGGCTGGGGTTTGGTAAGTACACTTTAACAGGGCTACAGACACAAATGGGAGGCAAACATAAGCAAACAGTGACTGCTGTGAGCCGAGGGAGGGTGGTTAGATAGGATAAAAGCTGAAGAAGAAAATCAAATCTGAGTGAGTATTTCACAGTGTGAATTTCTCAAAATAACATGCAAAAACTCAGTTTTAAATGTTTGTGCAGCTGACAATTGGTGCATGTATAAACAAACATTAGGCCTGTGTATATAAAAACTTATTTGCAAAAGAAACTACATAACTACATAAAACCGGTAAAAATCCAAGTTTGATCATATCCTGCAATGGATACTTCGTGGTAAAATATTAAATCATTGCAATCTTCAGAATAGAAATAACTAAATAGTATGTTAAAAATATCTTTTATGGTTCACTCTAGTTAATGTACATAGTAGTTCCTATTACTTCAAGGGGTAAAAATTCTAAGGTCACTGACCATGTTTTGCTGATTGGGTTAAGAACATCACATTTTCAAAAGCGCTACCTCAAAATGACAAAATCATATTGAGCAGGAGCTGATGGAGGGGAGGAACTTGAAACACAAATACAAGGTTTTTGCTGTTAATGTTAATGGCACAAATACTCAGACTACGAGGACCAACTAATGGGAGAGCAGACGACCAATCGGAGGGGAGGACAGGGTCAGCGGAGACTACTGATCAACTAATCAGTTTCTCTTACTGGCTTTTTCCTTTTCTTTCTCCTGCTCCTCTTTGACCTCCTTCAGCACCTCCCAAGCCTCCTCTAGCTCCTCCTCTGTGTGAGGCGTGTGAAGCCATTCCCAGAAATGCCTAAAGCTCCCATCATCCTCTGGGGCAGAGTTTTCCACTTCCGAGCGGGTCGTGCTCTCGTTACCTAGGCTACTGCGCCGGTGGGGTGGCAGCTTTGGGGGCGGGGGTCGTGGGGGTACATTCGAGGGTTTGGCTGGGCTTGGAGTCTCCGGGATGGGGCAACGCTTGATTGTCCCGCCCCCATCGTCCTCGCTGTGTGATTGGCTGTCGTCTGGTTTCAGTTTCGGTTGTGGTGGTGGTGTGGAAGTGGAGATGGACTTGGGCTAAAAAAAAATATACTGGATCAATACTTTTTTCTCTGTAAATCTTCAATATTTGCATTGTTTGCTGTCCTAACAAAAACTTTCAAAAACAAAAAGCATTTGATATTAAAAGTTGCATTATGTATCTTTTCTGGTGCAGTCAACTTTGGTCTGAATTGTTCTACTGCATCATGGCATTAAACATATCATTAACTATTAAACACCACGGAGATAAGCAAGTGATGACTCCAGGCCAAGTTACAGGTCAGATTTGTGGAGAGGCAATGCTGCTCATAGTAAGAATGCAAAACCTATAATTGGCTAAATGCATGATGGATATGTTTAACGACATATTCGAACATTCCAGCCAAAGCCTTAGCACCTCCCTGGAGACAAGCAGGTAGCACACCCCCAATAAGAAAAGACACATAGAGCATCTTCACTTTTTTTTTTTTGATACATCTAAGTTGAATGAAAATTATAGCTTACCTTAGGAGGAAGTGGAGGGGGTACTTTTGGCCTCATGATAGTGCTGGATTTACTGAAAAAGAAACATAGTAAAACTAATGTTGTGATGTATAAATTTATCATTAGACATTTATACTGGATTGCAATGAAACAAAAATGAAAATTAGTAAAACCACATCAATCTTGTCATCAATCACGTCTAATACAAACAAAATATGAATTTGTATTAGTCTTAAAAGGGACCATTAGTCACAAAATGATAAAAATATATAAATAAAATGAAATGGATTAAAATCATCTTTACAAGTATATGTACAGATGACTAGAGTGACAAAGAATAGTGTGCCATGTATTACATTATATTGTATACACTAACCATGGTATGTAAAGTTAGTTAAAGATTAGATTCGATTAGAAATAAGATCACACAAATAGCCAATAAAGCAACACTTGACATGATCTGCATAATTAACTTTGCCACAGACACCTTGCCACTGTACATATACATACAGTAACTTGTTAATCACTACAGAGAAACTAGCAGTGTAAGCTAATTGGAGTGACACTGATACAAATTGTATCGCTCACTGATACAACAGAAGACAGTAAAAACTAGCACAGTCTTTTAATCTCTGCTAGTTGTTACTGAGATACGAAATAGATGGAAAAATAATGTGATGTGGTTTAAAGAAGCATGGGTTTCAGCGGGAAATTTGATCTGTCACTATATGATAATACATCAGATGGAAAGTGCAAATTCCGCCATTAAGAAAGCATACAATAGAACAATTTGTATATTCTATGAGGATTAAACTTTAAAATGGGAAATAACAAGCAGCAGCAATGCTCTGCTCTTCAAAAGACATTTGTTTTTGCACAGTGAGGGGCCAAGGCAGATTTCCAGATACATAGTTTTATAAAAGGCAAGACAAGACAGAAGGCGCACACACCACCATACAGACACAAAGCAGTACGCAGATGGCAAAGCAAAACTACAGCAAATGAGATGTCGAGGTCGTCTATGGACTGAAACCAAACCCAGAGTACAACAAAATTAAGCCATATTGGTATTGCATATTTTTAAATCTGTAAAATATTTTATGCAAATACTGACCATCCTTCCACATTTATATTTAGAGGTACACATTAATTGAAGTAATGTGTGAGTCTGGGTGGGTTTTCAGGTTAGGGTTATTGTTAGTTAATGAGAAGTATACAAAAAACAGGTGAGAGCATGGGAGCACACACACAAATGCAGGTGTCTTTGAGGCGCGATGGTGGGGTGTGCTGCTTATAGATGCGTGGATGAAACTGTGGCAAAGAGACAGAGAGCCTTCTTCATTTGTCCCCCTCCACATCCTCCCAACATACAGTAAGTTATAATAGAGCGGGGGAGGATGAGAGCGAGTGGGACAGTGAAGTGAGGCCGGCGTCTAGGACTACGACTGGGAGACAACTTACTGAGTGTGAGTTTCATCATCAGCACCATCCTCATCCTCATCATCCCCTAAGTGTGCCACATGGCCCCTGGGAGCGGAGGTGGAGACAGGGGCAGGAGGGGGGAAGGGGATAAACGGGGTCGAGAGGTGAATGTGGCCGGGATGAGGGGACCAGAGGACAAGGGGGAAGAGCAAGGCCAGAGAATGCAGAGAAGAGGGAGGGAGATGGGGGGAGGGAGAGGAAGATCTGAGTGAAGCCAACACTAAACCCTGATCTTATCACATATAAACAAATACAGTCTCAAAGGATTAACAGCAGCTGTCAAGTAACTACTTCCTGTTTAAACACTAGTTACTTTGCAATTGGATAATTGCAATCCGAGGAATACCTAAGAAGTACAGGTCTGGCCTAGGCCCACAACTAGATGAAATGTCATTGTCTGAAGACTCATTTCATCCTACGGTATTGCAGAATCATAGCACAATGGTATCCTCTGTGTTAGAAGAGACACATTGTGTATGGTAATAAACTAGAAGAAAATATGTTTATGGGTTCCTCAAATTTGCCCAAATACATCAAAACTCATCTAAATCACACAATGTAGAATCCCAACTCAAACTGTATCATACAGGAAAAATAATGTCTGACACAATATATATATGTATAATAATAAAATGAATTGTATTGAAAAACAAAGACTACTCTTCCCCCCAAAATGGACAGTATGTTTTCCAAAAATAACCCAGGAAATCACATAGCTCAATGGGGGTATTCATATTCCCTTTCATCTCACATTTTCTTTTGCCTGAAGTAAAACAGAGGAGCTTAAGAGGTGATAATCACAGTCTTTGGGGCGAAGCGTTTGGTAAGATTATCCACTGCTGCACCGGTCAGAGTGAGCGAGCATTTGTTGAGTATGTGTGTAAGCCATGCCCTGCAAAGCTCCTGCAAAAGCACCACCGGATCCCAAAGCCAAAAGCAGCAGCAGCAGAGGAGAAGAAGAAGAGAAGGAAGAGCCCCCCTCACCCACAGCCCTGAGCACAGCCCTGCCGTTAGTTGCATGTAATTGTTCTGATTAGTCTTGCCGTTAATTGATTGATAGGTGGGCTTAGTTTAAACACCAGCAAATCAAGAAGACCTGTGTGAACCAGGAAGTAGGATGAGCATACATACCTCTGCAGCAGCTCCTCCTCTACAGACTTCAGCAGACTCCTGTTGGACAAAAATGTTCAAGGGATCAAGTAAAAAGTGAATACAGAATATCTTACTACTTTTACTATCCTTTATCATGTAATCATAGCAAAAGAATTGCACTTTAATTATGACTTACTTATTGTTTCCTCCCAATAGACTTGGTGAATCGTGTCCATACTCCAACTGCAATTCCTGCAAAAAAAGGCAATTTTAATACCTAGGAAACACCATATTCATCGAAAGGATTTTGGGCCATCTTGACAATGCAGAGGTGCTCTAAATAAATGAATATTCCATAAGGTCATAGTGATAGTATAAATATACTCAACTGATTGTGATATAATTATAATGTTATTATATTACCCCTTTAACATAGTGTCACCATAGATCAGAGATAACATCATGACCATAGTTAGAGAGTGTGTTGGTTCCAGTCAAATGACGTTCACTGAGGCCAAAAGTTATAGGGTCAATTTTGAAGCCAAGTTCCATATTAGGAATAGGAATATAGCTCATGTAGAGTGGGCTAATATGAAAATTTTTAAGACCAAAATGACCAGAAGCAGTTACATAGATTCTGGTGGGGAATTAAATTGATCTGTCATCCAATCCAGCTATGATTTAACATGCTCAACAAGTTATTGCTAGCATTTGTTGTCTGCAGGGCTATTTACTAGGTCATTATGTTATGCCTGGTTGGGGTACTGTGCATAGTCAACAGATGCTAATGATTGAAAGTCAAAATCATGTCAATTATATAATTAAACACAAATTTCTAACAATTGTGTTTTAATATATGGACCAAACTGCAGTACTGTACACTTTATGAAAAACAATACAGCAAGCATGCAGACATAAACAAGCATATAAGACACAACATATTTGACAAAACGTCAAAAGTACATAATTCTGCTAGGCATAAAAGTTTGGAAAATGTAGGTTTAGAACAAATAGATGGAAAGAGATCTACAAAGAAGCACTGGAGTAGAAATCAAACCAGGACCCCTAAAGTGTGTAAAATGTGTAACTATGACCTCGCCAAACTCCCCCTGCGAATGTGTGCCAGTAAAAGCAATACCGCAAAGTCTTGACAGTTGACATCGTGACATCTGAAAGTTAGTGATGCAAAAGCTAAAGCTAGAAAAGGTTTAAAAATGAACAGAATACTAAACAGCCAGTTCTGCAAAATGAACAAGAAACAGGGGCCCAGACAGCAAAAAGACAAGAGTAACAGAACCTTACGGAAAAGGTGACGTGATAAGAAAGAGGCTATTTTAAGTGGATAGACGCAGAGGCAGAGATAGGGACGGAGTGAAAAGTACTACCAGATTAGGTCTTGCGGTATAGTAGTGCTCCTCGACACAGTCCAGATAGGGCTCAGAATCACACTGGTCAGCAAGACAGAGCGAGAAAGACCTCAGTTAATACATTAACCTGGACGCATGGAGAGTATAATGGGGCAGGGGTGAGAACAGGGGTGGACTAGAGGCTGATGGGTGCACAAATGGGATTAAATCTTTAATCAATAAATGGTATGGCAGTCTAAGTATGATGGAAGGTTATGACAAACTGGGAGATTATTCCAGAAAAAATGTATTTTGTAATGGCTGGACTGATGCAGGAAACTGACAAAATGTAGATATGTATTTATTAATTAACAAAATGTATTTTAGGGAAGTTGTATCTAAATGTAGCCCATTACATGAGTACTTGACTTACTGTATGCTCAATCTTTTTTTTTAAATCATTACTCATTTCAAATGATCACAAAACACAACCTGATAATTTGCAGAATTTATGCCACTGCTTAAAATCATTTTAAATAGCAGTTCTATGCAAAATGTCCTTTAACACTTTATGTTAATCTCAGTTTTCTCTGTTGCAGGAAAATTACAATTTACAAAGTACAATGTACAATTTAAAGGGCATATATTAAGTTATTCTCTGATCTATGTTATAATGTTGTTTCCTCATCACAAACATACTTGGAGTTGAGTTTTGTTTCATTCATACATGTTTACCACACAAACCCTGCATATTCAGGATGAATTCTTAAATAAAACCACTCTGTTCCACCTTGTGATGTCATGTGGTAATACAGGAACTGCTCTACGGTGTTTTTAACCTCCATACATCTTCACTAGAATCATTTTGATTATTTCTGACCTGGAATGGCCAATGTCTACTAATAAGTAAAAGGTAGCATGAAAACTACCGCTTCATGACATCACAAGGTGGAATAGAGCATTTTGAGCTTTAGAGATATACTCAAGTATGTGTAAATGAAACCAAACACAACTTTTTGATGAAGTAACAGCATCAAAACATGGCTTAAAGCTCAATTTTGGATTTAGGTAGACTAAGTACAAGCAACAAGATTTGCGCTTTTCAGGTAAAATACTGATTGAAGGCTCACAACATGCACCAGCTTCCCATTGCCACCAGCAAAACAACTACATCCACCACAAACATGTATAACAATATTATGTGTATTAACAATCAATTAATTCATTCAGAAAATCACTATACTAATCTATTCTCTTTACAATGAGTGTGTTCTTTCTGCATGAATAACTTTATTTCCTTCCTTATACAATGCGTCAACTGTGCATTAATGCTGGCTTAGATATGAATATGGTAACAGGTTATTGATCCCACGCACAACATCTATAATCTGAAGGTCTAGGAAAAATAGACTGGTCAGCAAGACAGAGAAGCACAACATAATTAAACAACTATCCAAGTGCGAAATGGAGGGAGAGGATAAACGAGTGAAGGCCAGAGAAAGTTGTCCAAAAGTCATGTCCAACTCAATAAACAAAAATGAAGAGGAAGCCAGACGAAAAGATGAAAAAAGGTATTGAGGAAAGTGGGTAAAAAGGTAGGAAAGATGGAAATGATTGCTGTGTGCGTGATAACTCCTTATTATGTGACCAGATTTCTTCGCCAGCACTGAATTTTGCACTTAAAATACCAACTATTAAAACAATATGGACATTTGATTATTTCTGTGAATGAGTTTGGGTTATGTCGCTTGTGTAAACCTGATTATTCTGGTGAAGTGAGACAAATACTGCTGAATGAACTGTATACTCACAGGCTCATGGTGGGGCTCTGTTTCCTTTCTCAACGGAGGGTCAAATTTCACCTGGCCAACTGAAAAAGGTCATTCAAGGTCATTGTTAGTGGATTATGGGAAAGTATAGGACACAGTGATTGGCTTTGGATCAAAACTCACAGTTAATTTCTGATAGCGTCTTTCCTTCCCGAGTACTCCTGCTGGTGGAGCGGATACGATGGGGGACGGACACGGGAGACTGTGAAAAGAAAACAACATATGCGTAAGAATATATTATGATAGTTTACTTGAGGAGATTTCAATAGGTTTAAAACAACAATGCACTCATATTTCCTGTGGGTGTGAATTTGATGACACAGCACCAGAGCCACACTGCAACCAGACACACGACATAGCAACAGTCAATGGAAAATAACAAACCTATGCTCAAGATTCATTATTGTCTGTAATGTCTCTCACATTAATGTTTTTTTTTATGTTGTAAATGTCAAATAAACCAGGTGATACTAGCTCTGTTTTCATCATCCAAGAAAAGTTTATAGACTACAGTTTATAGCAACACCACCAATCAAAATAAAATTAAATCAAGGGTTTTATTTCTACTGACAGTAATAAGATAATAACACATAAGCAATAGGTTTAGTTTGTTGTTATAATACCACCACTTAATATCAATCAATAAAAAAAAAAGTTGAATGATATTGATAATTCAGGGTATATCATTTCTCACAGTAGCTACTAGACTCCAGGCACCAACAAGATCCATTACAACAAAAAAAGTTGAATAAAGTCATTTTGACTTATAGCACGGCATGCTCAAACCATGCATGAAACTATAACATGTCAATAAATACATACATGACATTCAGACGTGCCAAATGGACAACACGCAAACAACAACTTGTACAATGATAAAAGGTGGAGCTAGCAAAGTATTCAAGCTAGCAACATTGCACCTTGACCGACTGATGACGCTACTTGACATCACAATTGTAATCAAAAATGCTCACAAACAAAGCCAAATTACTGTTCTTAAAGCTGTCTTGAATGCAAAAAACTGCAGTTAATCTTTGACTTAAGAAGTACTTAAGTTATCAACATTAGTGCACATAAGTCAAGATGAGACTCACTTGTGCATCTGTTATTGTTATGTGATAACATCTCAAGCTTTAGCGTTGTGTTTGTTTTGGTTTGTACTTCACCCAAAACATAAACTTAAGAACTCACTCCTTTAAAACTATTGTGAAAGTGCAACAGTGATCTATCAAGTCCCTGAATCTAAAGGCCAATGTCAGCTCCCATGACAACAGCCGGCATAGTGATTTGAATAGAAATGCCCTTTGATTCTTTTAGGTCTGTGGTGGCTCAGACTGGAACAACAACTGGAATAAGAGTTAGAATGACATCACTGCAGACAGGGCAGCCCACACTGGTACCTTCCTACGGGCAGCAAAACGAGGGGCACGTCGGGCACCGGGGCTTATGGGTAGGAAATAGCCCCTGTACTTGAACTGAGAAGGAAGCCACATGCAGGAAATGAGGAGAGTAAGACAGTGAGGGAAGAAAGGAAATGGTTCTCTGTTTCAAGAGACGAGCACAAATGCACTATTAATTTAGAATACTGTGGAATTTTCCCCCAAAAGTTATGTAATAATACTCTATTATTAAGACTTTGCTTTGGTTTAACTCTGACTGATTATCATATATTAATTAAATTATTTAAATGTCTATGTAAAAAATCTTATTTGATAATAAATACATATTATTTGGCAAGAGAGAAAATAAATAAATAAATATGCTAAATAAAGGTAGTGGACAGAGTATATTTACCACTAATTACTACAACTATAAATGAAGAATGAAATGAAAATAGATAAATGGGAGAAAAAGATGAGAAAAAAATACAGTCAGCCTTTTCTGTATAATTGATTTGAACATAATAATGCATATAATGACATTTGTGTACTATACTATATAATGTATATATTATGTATACTATAATATAATACAGCAATGTGATTTGTGAAAGGTCAGAGGTGAGAGGTTGTGAAGCTACCTCTGGCTCGGGGTCATCATCATCAATGTCATTGAAGGAGCTGTGGTCGGGATTGTTCGCTTTGTCCAGCAGCTCAATGGCCAGGGTCCGACTGAGGGGCTGAGACACAAATGGGTGCTGTTGCAAACACAGGACAGATTCGTCAATGAATAACAATGAATCAAAAAATTCACATCAATCATTAACGCTGTGTTATAACACTCAATGTAACAATTGACTATCTTCTGAAAATCACGTCTACTTATGTTATTTTAAGACTCACCTGTAGTAGTTTTTCAGCTGTGGGTCTCTTCTTTGGGTTTTTAGTGAGCGCAAGCTTTACAAAGTGATGGAAATTGTTTGTCCTGATACACACAAACAAAAAAAGAAAATGAATATGTATCAGTCAATCTGTAAAATAAACATTATACAAGCCAAGGTGGTCTCATCTTACCATTTTATTTTGTCTTTTAATTTTGGAGGTTGAAAATTACTTTTGGTCATTAAAAATAGAGCCCTAGAAAAAAAGACAACAATCATTCCTGCACCAACTTAGTCTGTTGACAATGCAGATATTTTAGCCAATAAGATTTTATTATTAAGTAATATGAACATTACCTCATAGGGTGCAGGTCAAACATGGGTGGTTGTAGTTCAGCAAGCTCTATGGCAGTGATGCCCACAGCCCAGATATCAGAGCTGGTTGTAACCTCCTTTCCGTTCGACCGCTGCCACTTCAGGAGCCATCCTGCAGCAGGAGAACACAGTGAGATGACATCCACTATCAGAGAAACTGAAAGCCTGATGGCCCACTAATGAGCCTGGCTATTTTTATCAGCACTACATACCATCTACATTTGACAACATGGTAAGAGTACCTGTGGTGTCAATGTGAACTTCTAATGAATAAAAATATGTTTTCTTTTTGGCGTTCTGCGTTTTTAGAATGTTGTTTTGATCTCCTCCTAAAAACTAGCCTAAGCTTTAAAAATATTTTGGATGTTCATCTTTCAACTCACCAGTACGGTGTTCCAATAAATGACTTTCTCTTGGCAAGCGTTGCTGTGATTTGGGCTGATACACCAAAATCCGCTAAGGCAGAACAAACATACGAAACGTAAATTAGTAAAGACACATTATAAATAGGAGTGAAGGTCAACAGATTATAAGGTGGTGAAAGAATGGACACGAGGGGAGAGAGGGAGCAAAATAGGCCACTGATATGCAGTCTTTTGAAGCAGAAGGTAATTGCTCCTCTTACCTAGTTTAACATAGCCATTGTCAGTCAGGAGGATGTTGGCTCCCTGTCAGAAACACAAGCCACATCAGAAATTACCTCAGTGTCAACTCCAATTATCTCACACAAAAGCACTTTTAGGCATTGCAATGTACAGCCGAATAATGTGCCCATAGCTCCACTTACAATAGGCACTGCTGAACTTTTTCATTAACTTGAGAAAATTAGTTTTTAGTAATTAGAAAATGCACAACGTGATAGGTGTTAGCATTTTTTTTTTTTTTTTCAAGATTTCAAAACTACTGTATTAGATTAATTGTTTTTTCTTACCTTTATGTCCCTGTGCATCTTGCCTTTGCTATGAAGATAATATAAACCCTGTACAGAAGCACAATCATAGGTCAGATTGATAACAAAAACAGACATCAATATTAAAGGTACACAATGTAAGTATTCAGTGGGGCGGTGCAACCTGTTTGACTCAGCTGAGAGGTTATTGCTTTGCCAGGAATGTTCCAGTATGGCATTAAACTTGTCTATCTTGCAGTTAATCAATGACCTATTATTTATATGGCAAAACAGTACTTGGAAAACATGTATTCTTACTCTCAGCTGGGTTGCCTCTCCACTTATGTGACCTGTAACTTGGCTTAGGGTGTCACCAAGAGACAATGTCATAACTGGAAACATTCCAGGCAAAGCAGTAACAAATCCATAAAGACGAGAAGGTGGCGAACCATCCACCAGAAATGTTACATTGTGCATCTTTAACAACAAGACTGAACAAATAAAAAATGTTGTGTTACAATATAATAATTATAGCTTGGAATGTGCTTTACAAGCTAGAGAAGCTTCTCCAAGCAATACAGTAAACCATTACACATTTATTCCACACACTATTTGGTAAACTACATCCGTAGCTGCCCTGGGGCTGATTGACAGAAATTTGTCTCTCCAAACACTCACTCACATACACCATATTCACACAGGCAAGATTGGTGAAGTGTAGGCCTGTCACGATAACTACAATATCAACTTATTGTTCAATATATGAAAGCTGGAACAATACTTTTTGGAGCTCAATATTTATCATGTGTCATTTTCTTTGCAATAGTGAGGATACTTCCATTTTTCTGTACTATGATTTGAGCTGTAGAGGGTAGAATAAATAACTTCTATGGCAAATTATTGGTACCTTTTGTTGTTTGTTGCAGCTCAGATGTTTTAATGATACTGTCTATTTAAAAATTGGTTTACTGAGACTATCCTGCTTTGTTTCAGTGGCATAAAGTATTTTCAATATTATCGTTTATTATTATATTCTCTGTATATCGTGCTTCAAAATTTGTTATCATGATAGGTCTAGTCTTTCTCAAAGATACAGCAGTACACACAGTTTGGGCTAAGATTCAACCACCAACTACTCATAACACCAGGCCACAGTTGCCCTGGTAACTGGGGCAGGTATGCAGTGTGTTACCTGTAGGGTCTCCCGTGACATGTAGGCAATCTGTGACTCTGACAAAGGCCCAGTAACTGTAAATATTAAACAATAGTAGACGTGTGAGGAGACAGACAGGAAAAGTTTGTACCAGTAATAATAACTAAGTTTATCTACGTCTCACCGTGATAGATATCCTGTAGAGAGCCACCCCCGCAGTACTCCATACTTATCCATAACTTATCCCTCCTGCAAAGCACAGCAGCCCCACACTCAAGACAGGCACAAGACAACACAATACTGCCGCCACTGTTATTTTATTCTCTAACAGGAAAAAGATTAAAAAGCCAGATTCCTGTTTTCTCACTCTATATCATAGGTTCGAGTGTGAATGTTTGTCTCTAAATTCAGGTAAATGAGCACTTCTTACCGTAAATAACTCCCAAAATACGCTACAATGTTGGAGTGTTTACAATCCTTCATCATGATGATCTCCTGCTGGACAACTGCAAAGTCTTCCCCTATAATTTGACACACACACAAAACAGACATACCGTGTTGGCAATGATGAACAGAAAACCAGTGGGCTTATTTAAAACACAATTTAGCATAAAACTTGTCCAAACTATGACCCAAAAAAAAGGATAAAGAAAATAATTGAAAGGCTGGTGAGGTATTTATGCAATAAATGACCAATATTCTACAACATGAAGCAAAATTAATACATCAGATTTTTAAAAAAAGGACAGGGGATAACTCACCAGGTTCCAGTTTGATGACTTTGATAGCAGCCAGCTCGCCTGTGTTGACATTACGTGCCTGAAAGCGAGAAGAGAAAAGTTAAGTGATGGCATTTTTCCTACCACCATCACATGGCAAGCATTAGTAAAAATAACAACCACTAACAACTTGCAATTCTTGTTGTCCAATTCTTAAGGAATTTTGAGAGCCAAAAATCTGAATTCCTAAAAAGCTGACTTGTATCCAAGGGTTTTGCTGGAAACTGGAGTTCTTTTCCTATAAATAGCCAGCTGTGTTGACATACAACAGAAGCTCTGGTGCAATGGGAGAAGAATTCTATATTGAAGAGATATGAATTAAACATGGCTTTCAAAGCGGAGATGTATTAAACCATTCAGTCAGAGGACATGCTAGTAATTCATGGTGCACCATAGTGTAAATACAAAAGATGTCCATTTGATCCCTGCCATCAAAATTTAATAAAATGACAACTTTTATGACTTTTTAGTAGTTTTCAAGAACATTTCTACAGATAGATTGGCAGCTGCTTCACTGACATCTTTATGCAACATCATAGTCCAATTTCATAACATTTCTTCACTTGAAAAGATTTATTCAATATTTGTTAAAGACCTACAGGGGTACAACAGCGCATACCTATCCTGCATAACTGACAAGTCTGATCTAAATGAACGTGATTTTAATTGTTTAAATACACAACTGGCATGAACATGGGAAGCAAAAACATGTAGACCGCAAAGACAGAATTAAACACTGTAAACAAGTGGCACCAAAACAAAGCTGTAGTGAGAGGGAGGAGAGCGAGACAGTCTAAGAAGAGCTCAGAGACAGGGAGCTTTCAGATAGGACCAAAGATGACTCATAGGGTTCAATGCCAGCGTTACAGGCCCAGCACACAGCAGCCTGATAGGACTTGAATGGTTTGGCATGTCTGAAGTCACAACTTCTAGTGTAAACAAAAGCTGATGTTTATCTCTTTTTAAATCATTCGCTAATCATTAAGAAATATCAGACCATAATGGTACTACCACTGACTAATGGGAAAAAATCAAATAACACCCCCACAAAATCTCTACAAAAGTTCTTGCTAATATTCCTGTTTTATTTATCTGTTGCAGCTCAGGTGTTAATGATACTGCCTATTTAAAAAAGGTTTACTGGAATTATTCTGATTTATTATAATTCTGTCAGGGGCATAAAGTAGTTATCGTTTATTGCAGTATATCTTAGAAGCAATACATTGTGCTTCAAATTTTGTTATTGTGACAGGTAGGGCTGGGCGATATGGATCAAAAAAATATATCTTGATATATTTTACTATATATCTCGATATCTGTACAGGAAAAAATAACCCCCTAAAACGGAAAACTGCAAAACAAATATGCCAAATTCCTCAAGGTCCTTTTTTTAAAAATGAAAGTATAAGAGGTAGGCAGTTCATATAGGAACATTTAAGATTACAAAAAACCCTAATTACATAAATAATAATTTAACTGTTAAATAAAAGAAATAAAACATATTTCCTTTGTTTCATTCATAAATAAAACAACTCAACACAAGCTCATCTTTACATTAACTCTGTTATCCAAACCATAATCATAACCATGAGCTCCTTTAGCAGAAGCAGCTCAGGATTAGAGCCCGACCGATATATCGGCTGGCCGATATTATCGGCTGATATGGGCACCTCGAGGCATATCGGCTATCGGCCGATATGCTTGCTGATAGGGGCCGATATTTCACGTGGGCATGTGATACGTCGTTAAAAATCTTAGACTCTCTACATTATGTTCATTTAATCCAATTTACAGACAGATAAATGTCCTAATATGTGGCTCCACATCAATATTTATCTACGGAGTCATTTATCCGTGCGTGTGTCCGTATTGTCCCTGAACACACTATAGAGTCGCGTCACTCACGTGTGTTTGTTTACATCCGCAGACACAGATCCAAACATTGAGATTGTATTCTTTTTACGGACAATTGGTTTGAGTCTGGATTAAAAGGACATTTATTAGTGCAGATTTGTAATGTGAGGAGGAGCCTGTATGAGCGGTGAGTGTTGGAAATATGTCGACTTTGAAGCTAGTTTTAGTCATTCGTTATGGGTTAGCTGCTGTAGCTCCCACACATAAACAGGCTGTTTTCTATTGGTCTATTGTAAAGTGACTACATTGGCCGTATATTTGTTACTGGACCAGCACTGATATGGAAATGAGCTGTGAATAAACGTGTGAATTATGACATTTGCGCATATAATTAATTACCGCGGCGCGCAGCATTTACGGCTAAAGGCTAATAGCGCTAGTTTCTTTACTAGTTATGGGTCCGTCGCGAACGAAATGACTCTTAAAGGCCCGTTCAGACCAAAGCGTCCACTTTCTATGTAAAGTGTAAAGTGTAAAGTCTATGTGGACGCGCGACTAGAGCGTCCTGCGTTTTTGCGGCGCGTTTTCGGCGTCAGCGCGGCGCGAATCTGGCGTCAGCGCAGCGCGTCTTCAGCGTTTTGGCGTCAGCGGCCAAGACGCGCGTCCAAGGCGTCAGCGTCAAGAAGTTGAAAATGCTGAACTTTTCGCGTCAGACGCGCCGCGTCAACCAATCAGGGACGAGTATCCAGAGACACAGCGACGTTATTATCAGGAAGCAAGACCCGAGAACCAGAACGAGAACCACAAACATGAACGGAGAATAAATATATACACCACAATCGCCGAGCCGATCGCGAGGAATACACCAGGACCGGACCAGGACCAAACCAGGACTAGACCGAGACTAGACCGAGACTAGACCGAGACTAAACAAGGACTAGACCGGGACTAGACCGGACTAGACCGTGATTAGACCAGACCGACTAGACCGGACTAGACCGGGACTGATCCAGTGTCATTAGCGGAGTAGAAATATATATACACCCCAGTCGTCGACCCGATCTCCTCCTTTGATGTTTTATGTCATAAAAACACTCTCAGTCTGGTCTGACATTGTTTCGGGAAAAGAGCGGGACCGGGCTCTTGTTTCCAGGGCAACGGACGCGCGTCAAGTATTTTTGTCCCGTTCGTCCACAGCGTCAAAGATGCGCGTCGGGGGCGTCTAAACTCAAATGCAAAGGCGTCCAAATAGAGGCGTCAAGGCGTTTTTTGACGCTTTGGTGTGAACGGCCCTTTAGAGCCGGCTCTTTGAAGCGAACGACGGGAGCCTGATCCTTATTGGGAGCCGTGTTTTCTCTTTCTCTCACTTTTTTTCTCTTCACGCCGCGTGCAGATTCGTGGTTTGACAGCGGCAGCGGCTGAAAACGAAACTGAGAAATTTGCGTGTACATAGGATAAAAAAAAACAAAAAACAAAAACAAAAAACGAGCATATTTGGCTGTAGTTTAGCCATAAAATAAATAAGTCCTGGTTTAGACCTTTTGGTTTAGACCTTTTTCAGTCCTGTTTAGACCTTTTTCAGTCCTGATTCAGTCCTGCTTTAGACGTGCTTTAGACCTGCTTGCAACAAAACAATCTGAAGAGCCGCTTGGGAGCCAAAAGAACCAGCAGCTTTTAGTGAGCCGAGCCAAAAGAGCCGGTTCTCTAAAAAGAACTGGAATACCCATCACTAGTATCTAGAATGTGATGCAAAAATGCCATTAAGCCAACCTACTGTCTGTAAATATGATGTAAAGAGGCAGAATAACAATAAATGTTGCCTAAATAAACCCAATTTAAAATCCACCAGAGCCAAACCTAAGTTTTTTAAACAATTCAACATTTACAGTGAATTTTTACGTCACTAAATATATCGGCGATTATATCGGCTATCGGCAGATCCAACTTCCATTATATGGGTTTCATATCGGCCACAGCAAAATCCATATCGGTCGGGCTCTACTCAGGATGTTCCTTATTTGAATGTTCCTATCCAGCAGTAAGGAGCTCTGAGGTTTCCCACAATCCACTGCAGATCAAACCCAACGTTTCCAAACACTTTTGTACAAGTTACACTGCAACAGATTATTAATTAAAATCTTCTGCATAAATAGAATTTACATTAATAAACTTTACAAGATATATAGCATAACGACTCAAGAGCCACATCAGCCCGTTTGAGATTATAGTGTTAATTTTTTTTTTCTTTGCGCAGACTTGTTTACATTTTACAGAACCGAAACTTAAAAAGCGCATGACTAATTTGCATAAACAGCGCACTCCATGTGCCGCTCATGCGGTTCAACTTCTTTTGGACTAAAGGACACGACTCGGTGGAATATGAAATGTGTTGCTGATGGTTTTGTCTGTAAATGGTGGAAAAGTTTCGTGGCGCTAGAAGCTTTTTACTGGCAGCAACTTTCGGCGTTCACGGCGATAGTGAGGAGTGAATGAGACACGAGCGAACAAAATCAGGGAGGCGGGGGGCGCGCGGGTGACAACAGAGAAAACAAACAAGCGAAGAGGCGAAATCAAAATTGAATATAAGCATTATATCGATATATACGATATGTCAGAATTCATATCGAGTTTTAAAAAATCTCGATATATTAAAAATATCCTATTCCTGGTCAACTTTGCTTTATTCAGTGGCTTTTTGTTTGCAGGTTCTTGGTGACCTCAAGCACTAACCTATGTGAGATGTGGGCATGCAGGTAGCATAGCTGACACATTCCTTTCACCAGCAGATCCAAATACATAAACAAAGGCAGTTTTGATTTTTGTAAAAAGTTATTAAATCTTTTAAAAATACTCAACAAAAAGCCGTGAAGTTGTCTACACCTACAATGAATAGCTATGCATTACGCTAACGAGCCACTACAATAGATTACAACGGGGTGTCTAAACGTTTTTCATCAAGAGCCACACATCTAAACACAGATAAAGCAGAGGGCTGATCGAGGGCCATAGACTGGTACTCAATACAGTGAATAATGTTTAACACGTTTGAATGAGCATTCAGTTTTTATTCATGCCAAGATCCTTAAAACCACACACTAAATATTAAATATTAGCTTTATCAAGGTAGGTTTTCAAAAAACTTGCAGTAAAAAAGTTTATTTTTAATTGATGCAAGGTAATTTGCCA